TTAATAGTTACACAGCTTCTGTGATGAACAACTTTTAGAAATGGAAATCATTGTACAAAATGGTGAATGTGACTAATACTACCTTCTTGTACACTGAAAAAATGGTTAAAATAGTCAACATGTTATATATTGAACATAAATAAGATAATGTAAGAAATAAACAGCATATACTAAATACTTTAAATGGATAGGTTATATGATAAATGAACTATATAATAATTGACATATAAAAGGGAAAAAAGGATATCCTTGAGTCTACTAGAAGGAAAATATGTGAACTCTTTACAAACTAAGAGTGGGGGAAATATTCCTTGCTACTACTCAAAATCCAGAAACATGGAAAATAATATTAACTATATGAAATACATAGATAAATAATATTAACTATATAAAATACATGTAAAAATTATATGAAATACTACAGACAAAGCAAAAAACAAATTGCAATCTGGGAAAAGTTGCAACTTGTGTAAAAACCTGCATATATGTACTCCTAAAGTTGAGGAGTTTAGAGAAGGCCAGGAACCAATTGGAAAATACATGAGCAGACAGTTCACAGGGAAGGGACTGCAAATGACACTGGAAAGCCTGAAGAGATGCTCAACCTTGTCTGGAAGAGAAACTGATGTTGTTTCTGTGGGATGAGCTCATTGCTTGTCTTATAGGGAAAAGCCCCAAATACTGATAATATTTCATTGACATGGAAAATAAACAAGTCCTTCTGTTTATTACTGCATGAGAGAGAAAGTTGAGATTCTTTTTCAAATTGTGTGTGTGTGTGTGTGTGTGTGTGTGTGTGTCTGTGTGTGTGTGTGCACTCTTACATGTGGTGATCCCAATAATGGATTGGAGAAGTTACAAAATGACATGTGCATAGACATGTGTTGTTTGCAAAATGTTAAATGAGCTCAAGTAATCAATATTGGAAGGTTAATAGAATAAACTCATGTATATAAAAATGAAACAATGCAAAGGGGGAATAGGGAAGGCATCAGCACACCCTGACTGGGGTAGGGGTAGACACTCTGGGGGTGAGGGTAGATAATTAGAAGCAGGGGATCTTATGTGGTTACTTAGGAATATGGATTTGGGTTCTTCAGTTTGGCCCTAAGTTTTAAGGGAGAGTCAATATATAGGAAAGTAATTAATTAATAAGTCCTGGCCATTTGGGGCCCATAGCTCCAGGGGCTTTTGGCTAGGTACCTGAACTACATACTATACATGTGGGTAACTTCATGAACTAGATACTGTATCTATGTCTACCAGCATTCATGAGGTAGAGGAAGGCATATCTCTGTGAGTTTGAAGCCAGCCTGGTCTACAGAGTGAGTTCCAGGGCAGCCTCCAAAGTTACACAGAGAAACCCTGTCTTGGGGAAAAAAAGAATATTAAGGCAGTAAAAACACATAATTCACCATCTGATCAGATACAGATACACAAATGAATCCTATTTTAAATTTCCAAATGAGGAAAATGAGGATTCTCAGAAGGGTCAAGTAACTTCCCTGGTGGCCGCTGGCTCAGTAAAGTTTGAAACCAAATCTAAACCCACATCTGTGTGACTTCACCAACCACGGGGTTTCTGCTACTTTATGTCACCAGTTAAGAATGGTCTATCTTTGTATAATTTAAATGCCACTTTCTAGAAAAGTACTTTCTATTCTTTAAATGTGGGTCACTGAGTTTATGTGAGAACACATTCTCCAGCTGAATAATACACAAACAAATCATAATTTAATACATCTTAGGATAACATTGGGATATAAGCTTAAAGCATTTAGCACACTCAACATGAAATCTGATTTCCAATAAAAATAATATGGCAAATCCATGGATTCAGTTATACTTATGCTGGCTTTTTTACATCTCTAGGGGGCAATATGAGCTCCAAGGAGGAGTTGAGGACTGATTCAGACTGCTGAAAACATGGAGAAACCATTACCTCCAAAAGACAACTGCGGGGCCAGCTGTTCTGTTTCCTTGTATAGCACTCGACACCCTTCTAGCTCCATCTTTTGGTATAGGTATTTGCTGCAGTGCCAATTATAGATATCAGCTAGCTAGCTAGATGATGTCATGTCATCTCTTGGGGATGGTACGACAACAGCTTGCCTTTCTCGCTCCTTGGCATGCCATATTGCAGACAATGTCACCATGGCTTGGGATATCTGTACGACCCAGCCCTCCGGTCACATGAGGTGATATGTGGGGAGATAGTGACCTGTGGCAGGGGAAGCCAACAGATAAACACTTCCCTTTTTTCACTTGTGTAGAATCGTAAGACACATCTCTAAGATTCTCAGAAAGTACCACAAAATCAGAGCTCACTATGAAAGCCACAGGGCCTCTGGGGCAGTGGAAGCTCTCTGTAGACTATGCTGAAACCAGCCCCAGCATTTAATTATAAAAGAAACAGAAGTTCAAGAAAATCTAATTGCATGGCCTGGAAATATCATCTATGGCTCTAATAAAAAGGGATGGGTCTTTGGAATCTAGAAGGGGACACTCTGTAGACTTCACACTCTTAAATCCACAGATTGTTTTCACTCTCAATGACAACAGTCTCTTCCCTCCTGAGAATGAAGAGCAGTCTCCCCATGTCTGGACATGTTGCAAAGAAACTTGCTTCATACCATAACTTTATTTTCTTTGCGTCTGTTCCCCATTGTCTCGACTTCTAAACCAAGCTATCCCAACACAGCCTCTGTAAGAACTTGCAATTCATGCTCTATAAAAAAAACTACAGCAAAGGTTTTCACTTTGGACAGTTGGGGCATTTGGGGATAGATAGCTCTTTGTTGAGCAGGGCTATTCTTAGTGTTATAGGACATTTAACACCTCATCTGCCTTCTACCCACTAGATGTCAGCAGATCTCTTTCAGTAATGACAACCAAAAAATGTCTCAAAACATCATCAAATGTCCCCTGGGGAATTAAAAAAAAACCTGATGCTGAGAACTACTGAAATATGCTAAATCAAAAGATACTGCAGAGGAGGGGGCGTAATAAGCACCAATAGGGACAAGTAGGACGTACATGAAAATATTGAGAGCTTTAGATGAGAAGTAAAAATACAGTTGTAAGGCTGGACAGAGGATGACATCAGCCGATTTGCATTTCAATGTTTTGGCAAGGACAGGTGGAGTAAGTTCTAACACAGCCTTTGTCTTCCTTGGGCAGATGATGAACTATGAGGTAAAGATGCTAGGACAGTACTGAATAGGTGCAGAGAGTTAGAAGGATCCGGGAAGCAGGAATGTCAGAATGAATTTACTCCGAAAAGAAAGAAGAGTGACTAGACTGTTTCCCAGAAGGAAGGGTGTTGGAGTGAATGTAATACAAAATTATAGATAGTCCTCACCACTTTCCTATGTTGCCCGGAGGTAATGTCATATAAGCTGCCCTAATATCAGACCATTTGCCCTAAATATATAACTAGATCCAGTGAAAATCATCCTAAGTAGCCTTGACTAGAAGATATTACTCTCAAGAGAAAATAGGTCCCTGTTTATTATTTCTCCTATTTTTTCCAAAATTCCTTTTTTGATAAATGTTGAAAGACACTGTGCATAGCTCATCTGTCATTTTCTTAACAAATTCCTCCTGGTAGAGTATGTTATCCTCTTTAGAAATCACCTTGTCTAGGCCTACCCCACTGCCAACTCCTTCTGGGGTAGGATTTATGTCTGAATAGCCTTTTTACCTGGAATCAAAGTTCCAGACACTCAACCATTTGCCAGGAATGTGGCCTAATGAAGCACCTGTGTTACAGCCTGAAATCCTGGCTTTATCCATGTCTCTTCAAAGTTATGATCAGCCACAAAATCTACAAGAAATTAGTAAAAAGGGGGCTAGTGAACTAAGTTTAAGTTCTCAGTGGTGCTCTTATCTTAAGACCATACTGGTATTTATCAACTACCTCCCACACTACTCTTTCTTGAGTAGCGTATCAGTGATCTAGGTTGTTTCTATAGTAAGCTAATATAATATACAGCCTCAGACTTTATTTTTGGGCTACAGCTGTAATTCTTGCCTCGTGAGCGTCTTCCTGGGTGCAGGGTCTCCAAGCTAACCGCCCCATTTAGTTGTTGTCATTCCTGATTCCTTCATTCTGATGTTGTGCAACAGTGATCCCTGATTCTTTTGCTAATCACAGCTGACTAATTACCCCCACCAGTTCATTCCTTTCTTTGCAAACTGGTTCATTTCTGTAAGAAATACAAAGTTTCAAGCTCAGTTAATTCCTCGCTGTATCCTAGTGGAGTCACTCCCAATTTACTATCTGACGAACCAATGTTGCAATCTCGCACGAAGCAAACATCATCTTAAAGTGAAGATTCTGGTTCAGAGAGTTTCTGAAAAGCAGCCAAGCAGCAGGTCTGCGCAATCCAGTTAGAATATGAGGTTCCTAAGTGCCGTGGTTCTAGACCTTAGCTGTTTATGGGAATTAAGTGAGAAGAAATCAAAGAACTAATGATGTTTAGGTTCCATTTACATAGAATCTGACTTAACTCAGAAGTGCTTGCTCCCAAACTCTGATCCCAAGATTCTAGAGTTAACAGGGTTTTACAAACACAGAAAACAGTTAATGAACTCTCAAATGAATTGCCACAAGGACCAGAATGGGTACTTCTAGAGAAAAGGAAATACCACCTGTCAGCTCCTCCTGTTGGCCTGTTCCAGTGGCTCCAACCTTCCTAACACTGTGGCCCTTTAGCACAGTTCCACCTGCTGTGGTGCTCACCCCCCACCCATACAATTATTTTCGTTACCACCTCATAACTAATTTTGCTACTGTTATGAATCATAATGTAAATATCTGATGTACAGGGTATCCGATATACAAACCTGTGAAAGTGTCCCAGGTTGACAACTACTGGCCAATGCGAATGTAGGCCACGCCCTTGCCCTTTCACGCCCACTGTACGGCCTGCCCCTAGATATCCCGCCTCTTCCACGTTCATTGGCTGGTCCCGCACTTCCGGTTCCACGGGTCAACTTCCGGTTCGGAGCGTTCACGTGACAGGATACGGGAAGTGGCGGGTTCTGGCTGCTCTTGGTCTCTGCTCAATGAGCGGTGGTTCGTATTGGCTGTCGCTGCCGGTGCCCTTCCAGTGTCGGTCTCGGAGCACCCGCCTCCGCCGGGCCGGCCTCGCGGTAAGCTTCCCTTCGGGGACCGCGCGCGCTCCTGGAGGTGGCCCAAGTGGAGGCGCTGTTCCGTCCGCTCCGGGTCCGCCGCTCCCGGGTGACCCGGCCCACCCTGCTCCCTCCGGGGATGCGCATCTCGGGCTGCGTCCTCACCGCTTGCTGTCATCCGGAAGAGAAAACTGCTCAGAGAGTGGGCAATGCCCTTAGAGATTTATAAGGACATGTTGATATGAACCAGTGCAAGCCATGTCACGTCCTTCTCTCCCAAGCCAGTTTGGGGAAAAAAGAAAGAAATCTGTCCCGGATGGGCGGAACCGTGGAGGGAGAGACCCGGCTGTCTCTTGTGGATGACAGCCCTCGCGTTGAGATGTCTCAGGCCTTTGCACTGACACATAATGTAATGATGGCCCGACTGAGCTGAGGGAAACGAGTCCCAAGATGAATGGTGGTTAGCTGTCTCTGTTCCGTCCAGCCTTGGGGTTTTAGGAAGCGAAAGTCTAAAGAGAGCTCAGAGTGTGGGCATGGGTTTTAAGCTTGGGCAAAAGCTGTAAAGGCCACTATTAATTTACTTGCTGGCAAACTGAAAGGTCCTGTAAACACTGGAGGGTTCACTACTAGCCCCAAAGACTGCCTGTCAGGTAGCTGCCATCCCACTCATGTCTGTCAGATTCTCCGCTATACCCCAAGAGTGCTGCCTGGCACTTAGCAGATAACAGTATTTGCTGAATTGTGTCTAACTCGTTTATGAGTTATGACCAACCCTCTCCCGTTTTACCATTTATCATGCACTGATTCTTTGGTGGTGAGCACTGGCCATTATTGTTCTTTTGACCATTTTTACTGTTGCAGTAAAACAGGTTACATCAAGAGGTTTTTGTTAAGTACCAAACACACAAACCTGTGATGGCGCACTCTGCTTTCAGAGATGGCTGTGGAGATCCAGGTCATGGCATTCATGTCCCAATTAGATAGCAAGCGCTTGTCTAGTAAATGCTGTAGACATTTCGATGCAAGATCAGTGTGGATTAAGACCTGTATTGAATCAACTTCAAACAAACCCAGAGATGTGGGGTTGAATAGGGAGAAGACACTGTGTTCCACGTGGGGAAGTGCTCAAGCAAAGATTGCAAGCCAGAAGTGAGCAGAGTGCTTGGAATTGAAAGGTTTGCTTTGAGAACATTCGGCTAATGTTGAACAGGAGGGTGGTGTAAGGAACAGTTTTAAAGTCACTGGCTTGTTTTTCGGGGTTGTAGAAAACCAAGAAAGAGGCAAAAGGTGCTATTACACAAAGGTAATAAAAGAAAGCCTTGGTCGATGTGTTTGGCAGCAAATCAGAGGAAGAAGAAATTACATGTAGATGGAGAGGTCACAGAGTGTGCTAGCAGGCTTCCTGGTAACATGGAAAAAGCAGAGGAAGAATAAATTACATGTAGATGGAGAGGTCACAGAGTGTGCTAGCAGGCTTCCTGGTAACATGGAGGAAGTGATCAGTTATGACAGATTTTGCTTGCAGATTGAAATCGGAAAGTGGCAAGTTTGAGGTAACCGTCCCTGGTCTGTTACTGAGTGCTACAGTGTCACTTCACTTACGTGCTTACTAAGCACCTACTGTGTGCCTCTTGTCAGCTGCTAGGAATATAAAGCTGAATAAGATAAGGGCCATTCCAACTGAGAACTACTTTTATTAGGGGTAAGAGTGCTGTAGCTAGAAAATGCAGTTTGGAAGGACTGTTTTCACAGTAGAGGTGAAACGCCAAACAGTGGAAAAGGAAGTTTTCTAGGAGAAAAGGCTTTGAAGAAGAGAAAATGTCTTAGCAGAATCTTTGTGGGGGAGTTAGAATTTGATATATTGAAAAGTATTTCAGAAAAAGGAATAAAGTGAACAAAAACCCAGAGGCAGAACAGCAAACTGGACAGTGTCCAGGGTAGTTTGAGGCTAAGATGGAACAGAGCTGTAATGTCACATCCTGCCCTAGGACATGTTAAGGGATGAGCTGGCTAGTTTTATATCAACATTAACAGAAACTAGAGTCATCTGAAAGGAGGGAACCTGGGTTGAGAAAATGCCTTCATTAAGATTGGACTGTAAGGCATTTTCTTAATTAGTGGTTGATGGAGGAGGGCCCAGCCCATTGTGAGTGGTGCCATCCCTGGGCTGGTGGTCCTGGATTCTATAAGAAAACACGCTGAGCAAGCCATTAAGCAGCACCCCTCCATGGCCTCTGCATCAGCTCCTGCCTCTGGGGTCCTGCCCTGTTTGAGTTCCTGTCCTGACTTCTTTTGATGATGAACGGTGATGTGGAAGTGTAAGCCAGATAAGCCCTTTCCTTCCCAAGTTGCTTTTCACCATGGTATTCATCACAGCAATAGTGATGTGTAACTAGGACAAGGGGTTAGTAACATGGACACTCCATAATAGAGTGGAGTTTAGGGTAGGAGAATGGGGAGAAGAGAGCCCTAGGGAGAATTGCACTTCCTGGTTCGTTCTCTGTGGGGCAGGGGAGGCCATTTCTGCAGAGGGAGAGACTAGATTGAGGGTAGGAGAGTAGTAAGAATTTGCAACAAGAGTGATAACTGGGGAAAGGAATTCATCAGAGGTAGTGGTAGAGAATTGCTGGGCGGCTTGAAGCCCCAGCTTGGACTGGGTTTAGATATTGGCAATGATGTGACACACACAGCTTTTTCTACTAGCTTTAGAGAAGTAAAGAGCAAACCCAGTTTATGGAGATGGATAAGTGAGGATAAATTGGCCTGCAGGTGTGGTAAACTGATCAAAGGGGATAGATGCTGTGGGTATGGGGAAGTGAGTACCACCTCCAGGCTAGCTTGGGAAAGAAGAGGCAGCTGAGGCCCACGATGAGGTGAATGAAGGATGGAAATGGAAGCTGTGGGTTATATGAGAAAAAGTTTTGCAGTTGGAATACAGATAGAAGCTTCACAGAATAAAATGTAGAAGAGACACAGTTTGTAGGATTTCTACAAAGTAGTCATTGTTCTATAAAAATGTACTTAGTTAAAGCTCATGTTGTCTTCCTTTTCCTATTGAAAGAAATGGTAGTGGAAGAAATAAATTCCATAGGCACATTTGCATTGGAAAATAGTAATAGATACATAAAAGGAAAACCATTTAAATTATTCTCATTAAAAATTGAAGATTTTTTAAAAAGTAAAACTATTTTATTATTTAAATCTAGATAGGAATATACAATATCAAAATTTCAGGAGAAAAAATTCTGAACATTAAGAGTAAATGTAAAAAATGTTCTACTATGCTTATCTTCTCCATTTGTTTTTCCCTCCTTCCTTCACTGTATTGTGGGATACTTCCCATAGTTTGTTTTTTTTTATATAAAACTGTGCTGTATTTTATTCAATTTTTAGGTTTTAAACATTTTTAAATTTTTTATTAAGTTATTTTTTACATTCCAATCCCAGTTCCCTCTCCCTCCTCTCCTCTCCATCTCCCCACTCCCCAACCCTATTTGCTCCTCGGAATGGGCCCAGCCTCCCCTCGGAAGTCTACTAAGTCTGTCCCATCATCTTGTTGAGGCAGGACCAAGGCATCTCTCCACCCCCACATCCCTGGGTCAAGGCTGAGCAAGGTATCTCTCCAAATAGAATGGACTCCACTAAGTCAGTTTGTGCATTAGTGTTAGATCTTGCACCCTCTGCCAGTGACCTCATATATTGTCCCAGCTGCACCACTGTCACCTACATTAAGGGAGTCTAGTTCAGTCTTATGCAGGTTCCCTGTTTGTCAGACAGGAATCAGGAAGATTTTTAAAAATTAATTTATTGTTTGAAGAAAGACTGAATTAGATGAGAAGAAAGGAAATGGAAAGCTACTTTTACAATGATTTTATATGTAATTCACTTATAAGATTTCCCCATTTGAAGTGTCCCTTCATTGTTTAGTATATTCACAAGTTTTTATACCACCAAACTAAGTGAGAACATTTTCCTCTCCCCATTAGCAGCAGTTTCCACTCTTCCTCTCTGTCTCCTAGCAACTGTTCATCTTTCTGCCTTCATGAATTTTTTTCCCATTCTAAGCATTTGTTATAAATGTAGGCCTATCGTATATGATCTTTTGTACCTGGTTTCTTTTGCTTAGCACAGTGTTTTTCTGATTTATTGTGCTGGTGTCATTCCTTCATTTTTATTATTTTTCACAGCCTAAATGTGTCAAATTTTCATTATCTGTCCATGGATGAACATTTGACTTCTTTTTGACTACTGCAAAATGTAGTTCACCTTCTGTGTCTGCAAGTTCCAAATCCATTCATTCAACCAGTTGCCAAATGAAGATATTTGGGGAAAAAATGGTTTTTGTATTGAGCAAGTATGGAGTTTTTTTTCTAATATCTTTAAACAGTACAGAATAACAAGCATTATATAGCATTTACATTGCATTTGGGATTATAAATAGTCTAGAGATGATACAAGTCTGTAAATTATATTCTAGCATTCTCTGTAGGGGCCTTAGACATCTGTAGGTTTTGGTATCTACAGGGGCCCTGGAGCTGGTGCCTCCCCACATATACTAAGGTTGGTTGTCATGTTTTGTAAACACTCACATGTGAGTTTTTCTGTGAAGATCTTTTTATTTCTTTTGAGAGCTGTGTGCTAGATAATAATGGTAGTTGTGTGCATGACTTTGAAGGCCCCGCCAGACTGTTTTCTGAAGCAATCCCACCAGCTGTGTGGGAGAGGCTCCTTCATCAGTGCTTGCTGCTGCTGTTGTCCTTCTATTTTAGCTTCCGAACATGAGGAAGTAGTAGGTATCTCACTGTGGATTTCATTTGTCTCTCAAGTAGTCTATGATATGGAAAGATTTTGGTTTCTGGTATTAGTTTGGCAAAAGCCAAAGAGCAGCCCCACAGAGGGAATCTTCCATCCCCTCCCCTTTTTTTAGACATGGTCTCTCACCAGACTGGCACTCCACAAATAAGTGAGGCTATAGTCAGTGAACCCCAGGAGTCTGCTTGACTCTGTCTTCCCAGCACTAGGTTAAAAGCAGGCCTCACCATGCGCTGCTAGTTGTGTGAGCTCTAGAGATCAAACACTTGTGAGGAAACACTTTATCAACAGAGCTATCGCTTCAGCCCAATACCGAACTTTTTTTTATATTTGTGGCTATTTGTACGTGTTGTACGTGTATGTGTGTGCATATATGTATGTATGTATGCATGTGTATGGATATGAGTAAATACATGATTATTTGTGTATATATAAGTGTTGTTGAATACTTGGAAAGATCTTTTTACTTCGACAATACTGGTTTTTTTTCTGATTGATTTCCAAACTTGTAACCTCATGCTTTTATGATGTACATATATTAATATATATTTATGTATTTACTAATGAAGACTTAATCATTTGAGTCGTAAATGAACAGTTTATGAGGGAAGGCAGTGATTTTGATAATGAGCATAATACCTCTGTTCTAAATTTTTTTCAGCTGAGAAAAGATGACAGCAATCAAGCATGCGTTACAGAGAGATATCTTCACACCAAACGATGAGCGCCTGCTGAGTATTGTGAATGTCTGCAAAGCGGGCAAAAAGAAAAAGAACTGTTTTTTGTGTGCCACAGGTGGGCATTTATTAAGCAAAAATATGTACTTGGTACTCCTTCATTCCTTAAGGTCATTTCTTTCTTTAAAAAATATTTTCATTGTTTCTATAACTGGAGAAAATTATTGAACTGACAAATGAATATTGAGAGGGTGTAAGAAAAACTGTAACTTGTATCTAAGGTGCAAGGCATGTCGTGTAAGATGGCAGCTCCGTTACCTTTGAAGTGTCTCCGTCCTCCTTACCCCACTCCACTTTACAGCAGCAGGTGTCTGGTCTCCTGGATCCTATCGCGCTCACCACGTATGATGTGCTTGTCTTTAAACTTTTAATTAATGGAATTATGATTCTTTGTGGCCCCTCCCATCCAACAGTGCCTTCGTGAGAATTTTGTTGTGTTTTGGAGTTCTTCATTTCACTTTTTGAGACAGGGTCTCACTGTGTTGCCTTGACTAGCCTGGAGCTCGGGGATCCACCTCCCTCAGCAATCTGCCACCACACCTGGCCACAGTTTGCTTTTTCTCCCTTCACAAGGCTCTAATCCCTTCCTGGTCACTGCTGGGACAGATTGCACTGGGAGTGTCCCATCATCACCATACCTGTCCTACCAGGGGTGCGTGGTAGGTTTGTTTCTAAGCTTTGCTGTTTAGACAGCTCATCTGTGAATGTTTGTGCTTGTCTTCTGCTATACACACTGAAATTATTTTAAAACAGATAGTGCTGTAATGTACAATTATTTCAAAAAGGAATTCTTTTTACTCCCACCGTAGGGTGGTTCTCTTGTGTTCTCTGTGCCTGATTCAGCAGTTGCTTCTGACAGACTAACTGTTGCCAGGACGGCAGGAATGATGCCGTGTCTTATTGTGGTTTTAAATGCGCTTTCCTAATTCATGATGAGGTCGAGCTTCTTATGAATTTATTAGCCATTTACTTTGCTTATGAAATGTGCCACATAAGCCCTTTGCTCATTTTCCTATTGGCTTGGTTGTCCTTATATGAGTTTGTACAGTTTTTTATTATTTTTATCTGGATAGATATTGTAAGATCTGTTATTTGCATAGATATTTCTACTATGTGGTTGTATGCTTTCTGGTTTATTGCATTTTTTATGGTTCCTCTTAGTGAAATTTATAATTGTCATTAAATAACATTAATCTTGGGCTTTATGGCTTCTACTATATTAGTTTGTAAAGGTTTTGATTTACTTGTGTCTTAGAGAGTGTGGTGTATTTGTATGTGTCTGTCTATGTGTATGAGTTCATGCTTGTATTTCAGAGTTTTCTCTTATATCTCATTTTTGTTTTATTTTGTTCTTTACTCTTTCACCTTTATTTTAGAATCAACTTCTTAAGTTCCAGATTTTATTGGGGCTTTGATTAGGATTGTTTTTAACCTATCGTTCAAGTTGTAGGGAACTTGCAAGTTTTAGTGACATGTTTCTGTCTGTGAACATTGCTGTCATATTTGTTACAAGGTATTCTTCCTCAGATCCGTGTGCTGTTACCAGTTTGATAATGTGAGCTTTGATAAAAGGAAATGATGGTGTCTTTTAAAAATACCCTGCTTGCCAGTATACTGTTTGGTTTTAAGATTTTGCATCCATATTCATTTTCTATATGTAATTTTCCTCTTGCTACCTTTGACTTTTTAACCACGGTTATTAAATAAGTCTGGGCACATGTCTTGTTTTCTCATTGGAATAGTTTTGTTTCAAGTTATTCTTTTCTTTGAAAACTTGGCAAGTAGAACTGCTAGACTAGTTTGGAGGAGTGGGAATGATGGCAGATTGCTGCTTAGTAGGTATGTTTTCCAAATATTCCTTAGCAGTGGTTCTGATCCTTCCTAATGCTGCAACCCTTTAATACAATTCCTCATGTTGTGGTGACCCCAACCATAAAATTATTCCATAGCTACTTCAGAACTGTGATTTTGCTGCTGTTATGAATCAGAATGTAAATATCTGATATTCAGGACATCTGTGAAAGGGTTGTTTGACCCCAGGTTGAGAACCATTGCTTTAGTTCATTTGGTATATAAGATTTTTAAGTGACTATTTGGGGATTTGTTGTTGTTTGTTCATTATTATTATTGTTGTTTAGAAAACCATTTGCTTTTCAAATGTATCAGCATTCATTCCAAATCCAAACTCCATTTGTTGCCAGAATCATGTTTTGAAACTAGCATGCTTTTTCTGTAATAGCAGACCTCACTACCTCAGATGGAGCCCTTGAAGAGCTGAGCACCATCTTTTGTGGTAACTTCCCTTCCTTCCACCTTCTATTACACCTTGCTGCCTGCATTGACTCACTTCCTGTTGCTCTTTGTGATGGCATTAGGCTCTTTCAGGACTCTGTACTTACACATGTCAATCATTAGATTTCCCTCCTATGCTTTACCTCTCAAGACATCTGTCTGCCTTCGACCTTCTAGTCTGATGTAGATGCTTCCTTTAGGAATCTGTGAATTCCTCAGTTGACTTATTACAAAATATTACACTTATTTTAGTGTCACCCTACCAGGCACCTGAAAGTCCCGTTTACAGTGAGTAAGTGCAGAATGAGTGGAAGACTAAAATTGCTAACAGTCGTGTGTATCTTGTTCAACAGTGACAACTGAACGCCCCGTGCAGGTGAAGGTGGTCAAAGTCAAGAAATCTGACAAAGGAGATTTCTACAAAAGGCAGATTGCTTGGGCCCTCCGAGACCTGGCTGTGGTAGATGCCAAAGATGCCATCAAAGTATGTTTTCCACAGTCCTTGAACTTGGGTTCAGAAAATGCCTATCATGTATACATAGCATTGTGTGCCCTGAGATGATCGGAACTTGTTCTGTGACTATAGGCCTTGAGCATAATAATATTATGTGTCATTTTAAATTAAATATGCTTAGTAGAAAATTCTATAAACTAGTATGAATTTTAAAGTAATATGTTGTGTGAGTTAACTTTCTTAAAAATGTTTATTATTTTGGTAAGATTTAGTTCAAAGCATGTATGATCTACATAAAGGAGCCTTCCTTCTTTACTCCTCCTGAGTGAAATGAAGGCTCACCACCCGAGACAGCCAATCTGGACAGTTGACGTTTGTGGTTCAATAAAAGGAAGTGATGGAAGGCAGGTTACACACTTTATTTTGAGGCGATTAAATAAAATTTTAAGGATATAAGTTTTATACCATGTTTGAGTGTGCTCAGATTTCAAGGATATAGTAATCACATTAAAGGCCATCTGTATTCTTGTTAGTTCAAGACTTTTATCAGTTGTAAACTGTGAAATTAAGTAGAGCTCCCTTCCTCTCAGTTAATGGTACTTCCTCTACCTCCCCTCCTGGCTAGCTCTGACCCTGTCTGTCCGCAGCACACCCGCCGAGCTGCTGATGCCACTCAGACCAAGGCTTGCACTGGGGTAGCTGTCAGCCCTCTGCTGTAACCTCCCAAACTCATGTCTGTTTATTAAAAAGCTACAAAGGAGAAAAGGGCGTGGACATTTGTAAACTGACCTGGTAAGATAAAACTCCAGGGTTTTGTTGATTGCTTTGAGACAGGGTCTCATGCATCCCATGTTGGCCTCACACTTACTGTGGTAGCTGAAGTCCTGCTTTTTATGCCTCTCCCGAATGGTGGGGTGACAGACATGCACCACCATGCCCGGCTGAAACTCTGGTTTTACTCTTCCTGTACCATAAATCTAAGCAGTAGAAAGATAGATAAAACGAAAGGTGATTGAATCATGTGCTAAAAGAAAGCAAAGGAAAAGTGATTTACGAGATCCTTGCCAGTCTGTCAGATTTCTCCTAAATGATTCACATGCACACAGAGGAGAGGAGCGGGGAGGAGCGGGGGAGGGAGAGGAGAGAGAGACCACTTCTGCAAGTGTTTTAGTAAATTAGACTTGTTCTTTATTTCTAAAATGCACCCAGGTTTTAGGAAAATGTGGAAAGTGGTTTGAGACGAGATGGGGAGAGGGAGGAGTATTTAGAAAACAGCTGGAGCTTCAGTAAATACTTTGTGATACTGGGGCGGGGCAAGAGGTGGAACCCTTTTGGAAAGTTTCAAGAGGAAATACGCGGGTATATTTCAGAAATACACCCCTGCAGCCTTCCTCCTTCAGCTGCTTTCCCTCCATGACCCTGTTGCTCTCTCAGACACACTCCTTCATGCTGACTTGCTTAATGGGTGTTTTGTTGTTGTTTCATTTTACGTAGGCACCGTGGGGTGTGTTTACTATATATGGATATAAACATGAATTTTATACTTAGCCTGGCAGTAGCCACTTAGTATCATACATTGATTTGTGCAGATGTTGCCACTGGAGCACTCAGCCTCGTTATTGGCGTTATGGGAAGTATTCCCAGGGAAGTGATCATTTCCCATCAAATTCATGTTTGTTGCCAGTACTCTTAGGTGCGTTTATAAGTAGTAATTACTTTTAATGATAAATGCAAGTTTTCAGTTAAAATTAGTGTATTACATTTATTTGTGTATGTGTTGGGTGTGCACATGTGCCATCCATGGCATGCCTGGGGAGCTTAGAGGACAACGTGTGAGAGTCTGTTCTCTCCTCCCGAATGTGGAGCTAGAGATGAATTGCAGTTTGTTAGACTTGACAGCCTTTACCAGCTGAGCCATCTCACCAGCTCAGGTTTTCAGTTTGTTTGGATGCTTAAGCTCTGTATGTAAGTTGGACTAATTACTAATTTTATCCTACTGTTCTATGATTAACATGCCAAAAGTCAAGTCCTGTTCCTTAAAATACCACTACTCTTCAAAGTACTAGTCGCATCTACCTTTTCTTGCCTTGAAGATCTATTGACATTTTGTTACCCCTAAATGAAGCTGTAAATGAGTAAAATTATTTTTATACCCATAGAACATTAATATGTTGGAATATATTACTGTCCTTTACTGTAGTGCATGTGAGCCTGCATTTTAATTCTCTGGAAGTAAACAATAGTATACATTCATATGTTTTCATTTTCATATACAGATCAAGAAGTCCTGTAGTCAAGAAAACAATATTGCTATAAAATGGTTGTACTAGTTAGTTTTTCTTAGCCCAACACAAACTAGCGCCACCTGGAAAGAAGGAACTTCAACTCAGGAAATGCCTCCATCAGATTAGCCTATAGGCATATCTGTGTGGTATTTTCTTGATTGTTGATTGATGTGGGAGGGCCCAGCCCCCCGTGGGTGGTGCCAACCCTAGGCGGGTTTCTTGGAGGTATAATAAAGATAGCTAAATGTGAGCCTGGGAGCAGGCCCGTAAGTAGCTTTCCTTCATGGTTCCTGCCCTGACTGTCCTCCATGGTAGACAGTTAGTTACCTGGAAGTGTAAGATGACATAAACCCTTTCCTCCCCAAGTTGGCTTGGTCATTGTCTTCCCACAGCAGAAGCCGACAAAGCACTGACATAACAGACTTGTAGAAGGTGTGATGTGATTCAGATCACCTCAGTTTCTTAAAACAGCTGTGAGATTCGCCAGCATTTTTGCCTTTTGAGATGCTTATAACAATTTTACATTTTCAAAAACAGAGAACAGCGCAGCTATTGTTTCTTACCAGCTTGTTCTTAGAAAGTACATGAAGGCTAGGTTAATTTTTTCTCATGTTTTAATTAGCTAGATTCTTTAACAGGGAGTTAATATCAAACCACAGCTATGAATAATCATACATTGTCAAAGAAATTATGTAACCAAAACTTCTTAAGGAACTTAAAAAGAGAGGACAAGAGCCATGTTGTCATGTTACTATGGGGCGCTGCACTGAGCACAGAGCCCTAAGAGTAGAGCCTGCCCGTGCTTTCCACTCCTGGACTTTAAGGGTCCAGGGGGAAAACGTCCACTGTGGGATGTTGTTGCTTGTCTAGTTTTTGCTTTAAATTGTATTCTCTGAGGATTTCAAGTCATTCGGTTGATGTTGTGTGCAATAATCAAAGCCTGGCTCTTGGATGTGTGAGGCAAGAGTTCTGCCACTCAGCCACATCCCTAGCCATTTACATGATATTTTAATGGTCTTTTTTTACTCCCCAAGAACAAGAACACCCATTTTTAATTTTTAAGTAGATTTTATATTAACAATGAAAGGTGATAGGATCAAAATCAATGAATTTTTACGTTTTTTCTTTTTGTTCTAGGAAAATCCTGATTTTGATTTACATTTTGAAAAAATCTATAAGTGGGTTGCCAGCAGCACTGCTGAAAAGAATGCATTCATTTCATGCATTTGGAAACTGAATCAGCGCTATCTCCGCAAGAAGATCGACTTTGTCAATGTTAGCTCACAGCTTTTGGAAGGTAGAAGCAAATGAAAGTTTCTGTGTGTGGTCAAGTGTATCGTTAGATGATTAGGAGACTGAATTTACTTCACAATATGTCATAAGAAATTTCAAAGTTATTTTTCTTAGTGAAGACATTATGGGTGTGCATTATAGGGTATTGGTATATTAAATTTAAAAAGTAAAGTCACTCATAAACCTGGACTTGGTGGCACAGGCCAGTAATTCCAGCTACTTGGGAAGTTAAGGCAGATTACAAGTTCAAGACCTGCCTCGGCTCCAGAGTGAGGCTCTTGGACAACTTAGTAAGACTCTGTCTAAAAATACATGCTGATGGCTGGAGATACAGCTCATTGCTAGAGCGCTTGCCTGGCATGTGCAGGGACACTGGATTCAACCTCAGTTCTTAAAAATACCCAATTATAGAGGTATTCCTAGGAGATAACTGCTGTTAAAGTTTTCACATATATTCTTCTAGGCTTTTTTTCTATGAATACTTATATAATTTTTTTAAATAGAGAAATTTACACTTTTGTTTCCTAGTGTTCTTTTTTCATATAATGAATTCAGCCCACACATTTATTTTGTTACTAAATACTTACTCCAAACTTTTATTAGCATCAGAGTATTCCACTGTCTGGCTATATCATTATGTGTTTATTTTAAACAGCTGTGAGATAAATGTCTCCACAGCACTGCTTTCATGCCTAGCAGTGAACATAGTAATAACTAGCACAGTTCTGGCCTTATACTGCCCGAGTTTAAATTCTGGCAGTTCTCCTTATTTCTAAAGTAGATGATGATGATGATGATGATGATGATGATGATGATGATGATGATATCTACCTAGTTATCATAAATATTCCAGGTTTATAGTAAATGTTTCACAAATCTCATGCCTTCTTAGCAGCATGGAATCCTTAGACAAGAGGTTAATTATGAGGCCCAGGCTAGCTTGCAAAAATTCACTGTGTAGTGAATTCCAACTGACTTTGAACTCAAGGGTAGACCTCCTGCCTAACCTTCCCAGTGAGCCATCACCCATCACGTCTGCCTTAAAACTTCATTCATGTGTTTACTGGGAGGAGAGCATGTACATCCCATGGCACCTGTGTGAAGGTCAGAGGCAGTGTTGTAGAGTTCTTCCTTTCATCTTTATATGGCTTCCAGAGATTGAATTCGGCAAGCATCCTTAACCACTGAGCTATTCTCTGGCCCAGTATTCAATAATTTATGATATGGTTTTAAGCAAACCATTTATCTAGCCACTTGCCTCTTTTGTTTTTTTGGGCTATGGACCTTTCTCCTTTCAAGTAGATGATTCTTTTTCGTTTTTTCCTTTTTTTTTTAATTTAGAAACAATCATTTTACATATCAATCCCCCCCTTCCCTCTCCCTTCCATCCTCCCATGCCCACCCCTCCACCCGCTCCCCAAGAATGGCGAGGCCTTCCATGGGGGATCATCAAAGTCTGTCACATCATTTGGGGGAGGGCCTACATCCTCCTCTGTGTGTCTGGGCTGCAATAGTATCCCTCCATAGGGAATGGGCTCCCAAAGTCCATTTGTGCACTAGGGATAAATACTGGTTCCACTGTTAGAGGTCCTATAGCCTGCCCAGGCCTCCTAGCTGGCACCCACATTCAGAGGGCTTGGTTCAGTCCAGTGCACAAGTAGATGATTCTTTCCCAGCAGTTCCACTGTCTAGCCTTGGTGCTTAGAACTGGCAGATTCTCATATCTGGCAGCTCCTGAGCAGTCCCCCCAAGACCCTCCCCATCAAGACACTGGCCTAGGTTAGGAGCATCACGGCGCTGCCATGTCACTAGTGTCAAACTCCCTAGACATTTTGTCTTCAATTACAGGTTCATTTTCTTTGAATGACTTTGGAGATTTTTGTTTTGTGTGTCTTAATAATTGAGGCAAGAATCTTCTCATAAGTCAGTCACTCATTGAAAAGCTTGCCTTTCTGTTCTCAACTACTATGTTATTTATTCCTAATATATATTTTAAACTGATATATTTAATTAGTAAATGTCTCTAGACTTTGGATAATGTTGGGGTGGGGGAACCTCATTACCATCTTATCTGAGGAGCTAAATAGTCATCCAAGTAAGTTGGTGACATTGTAATTGTTCATGTCACAGCAGCAGCCGCAACTTTCATAGTTTCTAATAAATGACAGTCGAACATAAGAGTTTTAGAGATGGATAGGGAAGTTCTTTTTTCTTTTCTTTTCTTTTTTTTTTTTGCCGTTTCTTTTTTATCCTTTGGCTTGCAGCTAGATTGTGAAATAATCTTCCACTCAAACCTTTGAATGCCTGCTTACACTGCTGTCTCCTGTGTCTGTTTCTTGCCTCAGCCATATTCTTTGAAATAGTGTTTCTGACTAATCCTTTGTGAAGGAGTGTCCTGGAAAGCTTTGGGCCTGGAGTGAAAATAACTACACTAAATGCATGAGTCACAACTGACCTAAAAATACTCCCCAGGAAATGATTTAGTTTCCCAGTTTTCTTCTTCAAGGACTAGTACTGTTTCTGACATACTGAGAGGAAATATGGAAAGACACTTTTGCACAACAAAGGAGAAAAACAAGCATGAAGTTAAGCTTCTTAGGGATCTGCCCACTGTGGCTGGTTCAGTGTGAAGTTCAAATGAGATCTGGGTAGTAGTTAAAAGGTTTAAATCTGTACACTTTTTTCTACTCAGCTAATATTCTCTGCTTACTTTCCTCTGCTTTTCTCGTACCTTTTACTCTCCAGAACTGCCTAAAGTAACAGAAGGTGCGTAACCCTGTTCTTACTCTATTTCATGTGTACGTTACTTGCCCTGTCGTATACCATTGGTTGCATATTTTATGGATTGTATACAAGGATGTATTTATTACAGAATCCATAGACTAATAAAAGTAATAGTACTATTCATTATTAGCTCCCGAAGGATTGTTTCAGGAGAAGAAAATACTACCAAAGTAGTTTTGATGACTTAAAATGCTTGTTTATTTGAAATGTTACTGAAAAGCACTCCAGTACATAGATGATTTAGGTGTTCCCTGCCCTCTAGTGGTTAACAAGGAGTCACATCTGATAGTTCTGCATTTGCACAATGAACAAAATGGCCTCATTGAAAAGACAAGGAACATGGCAATGCCTCTCTAGAAACATTTCTATAGTGTAATCTGTAAATTGCGTGTACCAAAAGTTTTAACCCCCACCCCGTATGGGATATAACTAAATCTATCTTACTATCTTCTTCAGAGTTAATACTATCTCACTTGGAGTTAGCAGGGTTTTGTTCTGAGACAAATTAATAGATTTCATTTTCATGTAAAAGAACAAACACTAAGAGCATCCAGCCAGACCTTGTGATTTAATTCCTGTCCCAGTCAGGCTAGAAAGTCAGTAGCTTTCTTTAGAGCTGCAGCTAGAGATAACAGTGGTTTTTCATTTTACCTCTCTCAAACTCAGACTCTGTATAAAATGCTCACACACTATATGTGTTTCTTTCCCCAAAGTGAGAGGTATAGATCTATACCTTGGCCTCCTGACATTTGTCTGGAGGCATGGAAACTATGTACAGTTTTATAATTTCAAATCGCATTGTTGTTCTCTCATTGGAGTTACTAAGGAAATTGCTGTAGTCCACCTTGAGCTGTTTTAGCTATGCATGTGAAGTTTTTAAACAATAACAAAAAGTAGAAAGTGCAGTCAGTATTTTGAATATTCATAATTTCTTGTGGATAATGCACATGCCTCTCACTTCAGTTAAAAGTGATTTGAAAGAGGTGTATTGTGTGATAAAGAAAGATGCAAATAGTAAAAACAAGGAGAAATGCTACCCAGAAAGAAAGGAAAGAACTGTTCTCCATATCCACAGCTCATCATCACTGTTTTGTTAGAGCAACAGCCATCTCTGGTAGGGAAAAGAGAAATTAGGTTCATTTCTTCAAGCTGTCTGTTTTAGTGGAATTATGTTTTGAGACATTTTGACTAAAGCCCATGTTAACCCTTGTAAGTCAGTGAGCATACTAGATTGCATGCTTTCTGTTGCTACTAGGACCTCACTTTAGTAACATTGTATGACCTTTCTTCATATTTTCTGAATGATTCTTTTCTATCCTTCAACCACTAAATGTGTCCTGTGCTTATAATCAATCTTAACTAGCTGTCACTTTAAGTTCCATGTTAAAGTTCTTCCCATTTTTTTGACGACTTTCTTTGCTTACGTTTTACCTTCTTTAAGAATCTGTTCCAAGTGGAGAAAATCAGAGTGTGACAGGAGGGGATGAAGAAGCAGTAGATGAGTACCAGGAGTTAAATGCAAGAGAAGAGCAGGATATTGAAATAATGATGGAAGGCTGTGAATGCGCCATCTCTAATGCCGAGGCCTTTGCAGAGAAGTTGTCCAGAGAGCTGCAGGTGCTAGATGGGGTAAGAATTCCTCATGAGCTCTGAATGAGTGGTGTGTGGTAGATTGCAAAGGCTGGCGATGCTTGTGTGTTCTGCCTTAGGACTTCAGCTTTTACAGTGTGATCATTGCTGTATTTGTAAGCTTGTTGTCAGCTGTCACCATGCTCTACTCTTCTTGTTCAAAAGAGAGAGCCAGGTGCTCAGGAGATGGCTCAGTAGCTAAAGCACTTGGCATGCAAGGTTAAGGACCAGAGTTCAGATCCCCCAGAACACAAATAAAAACTTGGTGAGCATAGTAACTCTTCTGTAGTCCCAATGCTTGTGAGTCACAGATGGGGGTTCCTGGGGCAAGTTGACTAGACTAGACAAATCAGGGAGCTCAGGATTCAGGTGAGAGACCCTGTTTCAATAATAAGGGAGAGAGCAGTTAGGAAGACACTCTACATCACATATACACACACATTCAAATGTGTATTCACACATCACACACACACGCGTGCACGCACAGTGAAGACATAAGGCTAGGGTTTTAGATTTAATATGCAACGGTAGAAGAAAAAAAGTAAGCAACCAGATATCTTCTTAGGGGTTAATTCCCCTAGCCTCTGAATAGTTCATTACCAAAGAGTAGCATTTTCATTGTTTGTAAAAAATAAACAACAGCAAAAACCAGTTAAGTACCAATTGTAGCAAGAGGAATGCAGGCGAAATAAGCGAATCATTTACCAAGGGGAGCCGAGTCAGTATGGTGAGAAGGGGAAGGATCTCGAGCTCACCGCTAAAGGGCTTTAGAAGAGAGCCCTCTGACTTCCCTGCACAGTTTCTGAGGGGTCTCAAACCTTAACCCAGAGGCAAGCGAGCCTTCCCAAGGCACCGTGGAGAAGAAAGGTGGAACTGATTGACTGGATGCAGAGATCTGGCAGGGGTTCACCCTTGTACTTCTCCACATTTAAATAGCACACACGTTATATTTTCCTTTCACATTGCAGGCTAACATTCAGTCAATCATGGCCTCTGAAAAACAAGTGAATATCCTGATGCAGTTGCTGGATGAGGCCCTAAAGGAGGTGGATCAAATTGAACTGAAACTGAGCAGTTACGAGGAAATGCTCCAAAGTGTGAAAGAGCAAATGGACCAGATCTCGGAAAGCAACCACCTGATTCACCTCAGCAACACCAATAATGTGAAGCTGCTGTCTGAGATAGAGTTCCTCGTGGTGAGCATTTCATAGGTTACCAGCAGAGCAAACACAGGAAGACTAGTCATGATGTGTGTGAGGCTCACTTGTAAACCTTGTGGGGCCAGGATTTAAAGAAATTACAGACTGGGTGGTAGGGTTGAATAGTGCCTTGCCTTTATTTTTCCCACAATAACATGGGTAAGTGGTATGTTTGAATGTATTACAGAACCACATGGACTTGGCCAAAGGTCACATAAAGGCCCTTCAGGAAGGAGATCTTGCTTCTTCCAGAGGCATCGAGGCCTGCACCAATGCTGCCGATGCTCTTCTGCAGTGCATGAATGTCGCTCTTCGGCCAGGTATGTTCAGTACCCAAGATGAAAGAAATCTGACCAAGAACTCAGGCAACTCAGTAGAAATATCTTAGGCTAAGTGATTTAGGCTTATTTACTGGCTGTACAAATTGCCTTCACAAGTTTAGTGTTATGATCTGCCTAGTTTTTATTTTGTTTAGTTTGGGGGTTAACTTCTCACTACATAGCCTAGGCTTGTCTCAAACCCACAATCCCCATTTCCCAAGTGCTGAGAATGCAGGCAGGCTCTACCATGCTATGCGTTCACCATAATCTTATTTAAAAATATAATTTTATTATTTATGCATGTGCACACATGATGTGTACATGTATGCACACTGTGTGTAACATGTTCAGGTCAGAGGACATCTTTGTGGATTCACTTCTCTTCCACCTTTACAGGTGTTCTGGGGCTTGACCTCAGCTCACCTGGTTTGTGTAGCAGCAAGCACCTTTCCCTGCAGATCATCTCGATGCCCTACCATGATCTTTGGATCTTTCTTATTAGAAACAAGCATAAGTACCATTAAGATGTGCCAGAGAAGATACAGTTTCTAGGCAGTGGTTCTAAAACTTGAGTGTGCATTCAAATCAGCGGAGGACCTATTTAAACATTACCAGGCATTTCTCCAAGTTGCTGCACAGCTTGGTAACCCAAGATGGGTTACTGGAGCTCATGTACAGGTGAAAGCTGAGAATGGATTTCACAGAATTGTCTTCTGATCCCCATGTGCACACTGTGGTGTGGCATTTCATGTTAGACATGGAGGGAATCTTTGCCTGCCCTTATTGCCTCAGTGAGGACTGTTGTTCTGATGCAGGCCACGACATGCTCCTGGCCGTCAAGCAGCAGCAGCAACGCTTCAGTGACTTGAGGGAGCACTTTGCCCGGAGACTGGCCAGTCATCTCAACAATGTTTTTGTTCAACAGGTAATTTACTAGTAACTGACATGTTTCCATGGGTCATTTGTATGTTGCCCTGAACCTAAACTCCCACAAAAATTTTAATGTATTCATTCGGGACTATAATATATTCCTTCATGCAGTTCTATGATTTTAAGATTTTAAAATCTGTGTGAGCCACCATGTGGTTGCTGGGAATTGAACTCAGGACCTCTGGATGAGCAGTCAGTGCTCTCCTCTGAGCTATCTCTCCAGCCCCAGACTTTGAAATATGTGTATAGTTCCTCAGAGAGATACTTTGGACTCCAGATAACCCTTTACACAGATGTCAAGTTCCTTTAGCTGAAACTGATTCTAGCAATCAGATAGATAGCTACATTCATTAATTACATATACAGTTGGCAGGTCTGTGTTTACTGTGGGGCCTCTTATATTTTTCAATGTGTAGAGGTGACAATAAGACCTGTCACATTATTTTCAATGTTTCATAGGTTCTGTGTGGTTGAATACATTGTGTACATGTAAGGAAACAACTAGCTCAACTGTGAATTTTGGTTGATTCAGTCTCTGTGGTTTTTTTAATGGAAAGAAATGTTATAATTAATAGCAAGACAAGAATATTTTAAAATGCCAAGGGCACCTTACAGGGATTTGGACAGAAAGTATTTTAATAGTTCTTGTGGGGTTCTTTTGTCTTTTACTTTATTGGACATATTGAACAAAAAAAAAATAAGGAGAAATCTTAGTCATCAGTACGTGCTCTCTGAAAACACTGGTTTCTCTTTGCAGTATTCTAAAACAATTGTCTTTATTGTATTTTATTCCACCTAGTTTACTCAGGCCCTCCTTCAGCTCTATAGCAGGTCCTACTTTCTTTCGGTTCCTGTGAGTACATCAAGCTGGCTCAAGCTTCTCTGATTTTTTTTCATATTTCTATGACATTTGCTAAAGTTAGCAGAATTTTTATGCTTACAGCTTAACTTACTGATTAAGCTACCCATTAACTATATTTGTAGTAGTTTTTAAATGTCCCATTTTGCCACAAAGGCCCTTAACCTCATTCTGCTTGCCCTTCTCTGTTTCTGTCTCCTTGATTTTTTAGTAATTGCTTGTTGGTGGTTGAGGTACCTGTTAGACATTGCTTTGAAGTAAATGCTTCTCATTCTGCCCGTGAAAAGCTCAAGGTCTAGGGAAGGTAGACACCCGGACACCCTTGGGAATGTCCGCTGCGATGGTGGTGCTGTGCAAACATAAAGGAAGACCGTCTCACTGAACATGGGAGGGGATCCCATCAGTGCAGACTCCCTCAACATGTCACTGGACCTGAAAAGTATCAAGAAGAAAGGAACTGAAAAGTCACATAGGAAACTCCCATTTTTCTTAGTTTATTATGTTTAATGCTGTCTGTTGGCAGTGATGTTATCCACATGTGTGGATGGCATCAAAAAATGTCTGTCAACAAACAGTGGGTTTTTTTGTGTCTTAACTATTGACTATAATGTGCAGTTACTCATTCTGTTTGCTTCTTTGCCTTGTAAACTAATGGTTTATTTAAAATGAATGCTTCCCATTTCTGAAAATCTAACATGTGCTGTTAACATGTGAGTGATGCATGTTTAAAAACAGAATGTTGCAACAGCCTGTGATGTGTTGCCAAAGGTGGAAAAGGATGTCTCAAAGCTTGAAAGAGATTGTCTCTGTGTTGAACTTGGTCATCAGGTCACTGGCAAAAGGGCTGAAGAACATGGAGATTTCCAGTCCAGACAGGGGACAAAATATCTGTGAGGTTTTGACTAGCATGTGATGGTACACGTCTGCCACTTCCCATTTTAATTGCCTCATTTAATAGCAGAGATAATCAAAGTATCTGCTTCACTTACACTAGTGTTTGGCTCTTATAAGGTACACCATGTTACTGTTTATTAAAAATTCTAGTATCTAGATGGATGGTGCACACCTTTAATCCCAGCACTTGGGAAGCAGAGGTAAGCAGATTTCTATGAGTTTGAGGCCAGCCTGCTCTACATACTGAGTACCAGGCTAGTCCTTACAGCATAGTGAGACCCTGTTTCAAAATAAAAATTATAATATATAATATGTATGTGTTGGTGAAATTTTGTAACTCACCAAGGTTTTATAATGTTCCTTAATTTGAATACCCTGTGAATTACATTAATCATAGAGTTGCTGTTTTCTTAAATGAGAAGTACATTACAAGATTAGGATAAAGATTCAGATTTATGTATTAAAAGTACCTCAGCAGTGAGTACTAAGTTAGTCTGTAGTTGCTGGTAATCTATTATTGTGGATATAAGAAATTTTAGAAATGCTTAATGCTTTTAAGCATATGAAGAACAAATTTTTTTATACTTAGTATTTTACCTCTGATAATTTTTATAATACTGATTGATTTAAGCAACTTTTACAGTTCACAGATTGTAGAACCATTTTACCTAAAATTAAATCCTTTAGTAACATTGAGTCTATCTTGACAGTAAACGTTAAGGGGATGATAGCCGATATGTGGAATGCCAGTTTCTCAGGTGTTTGTGACATGGAAATTCTGCAAAAACTTAGCATAGTAACGTATGCAAAAAGCTTTTAAACTGCAAGGGGCTCCACACAACTGTTAATAATTAATTCTCCCACTTTCCAGAAGAGATTTGTAATGATTTAAAAGCTTTCTCAACCTGAAATAACATAACCCCACATGTAATAGACTGAGTAAATAGTTGAAGAGAACATACTTTTGTGTCAGTCATGGAGAAGAATATTTTGGGTGATGACAGTGTGTGCCACGTTGCTCATTAGCACAGTATTAGGAACATCTGTGTTCTAATAATATCGGCACAATGGGTAAGAGACACCAGGAGGCATTGTTGAACTTGGAAATGAAGCATCTATGGACTCCGTTGTTTTCCATGTGCAGTTCTGTAGAACTGTTCTGTAATGTAATGGTACATTAATCCTGAAAACTGTAGAAGTCGAGACTGAACAATGATATACATAATAAAGCATGTAGAAGTGATAAATCTTTCAAATTAAAATAATTTTAATTCTTTAAACTCAGATTGTTTATCAAACTATTATATTTCAACTATTACTAGAAATGAATTATCTACCTCTTCTCCCTGATTCAGCAGCTTTTGTAAACTTAATGGTTTCCGTAAAATACCGAAACAGTCTCTTACTAGGCAACTCTCAAATGAATTAAAGAGACTTCAAGTAAATGTGGCTTATGTTAGCTTTTGCTTGCTCGGTGGAAAATTCTGTTTCAAGGGCAGTCTGATCCTGCAACTTCCTCATCTCTTGGGCACTGGCTTTAAGCTGTATCACAGATGTTGACTAAGTAGAGAGAAAGAGGCAAATTGTCCAACGAGAGGTGTGGCACTCATCTCCACACACTAACAGCTAGACAGCAGTTGCAGGTTTGGACTCTGGTTAAATGATTTTGTTTGAATGTTCTTAAAGGAAGACAGAAGTTAGGCTTGTTTATCAAGATTCCAATTATGGCTTTCCTCCTATGTGACCTGAGCAAGTCACTTTATGCCCTGAGCCTTGGGTTCTTTTAGAAAATAGGATTAATAAGCCAATAATCTAGCAGTCTCTATTTTTTCTAAAGCAAAAGTCAAGACAGTTGATCTGTTTATTAATTTATTCACATAACATTGTCAAGGTTAAAATAGTCGTGTGTGTTTGCCTAGCACATCACTTTAATGGGAAAATTGGAATCAACATTGCTATTAGGGATTGTCACAAAAAGTCCAAGATATAGCCATCTATTGTTCTTACTAGCTGTAAAATTTCATATCTTACATATCTTTATCTGTTGAAGAAAATATAGTTCCTCCTGGGAATCTCATTAAAGTGGACAGTTTGTTTGGATGACTTCCCAGTGGCATGTTTTTTAATACAGTCTGTATCAAGAAGTTAAGTTGCTTAGTACGTTGTAAAGTGATATAGAGAGGAACGCTTTATACAGCTCTCTCATTTGAAAGATGAAGTGAGCGACACTTTGTCACAGTGCCACCTATGCATTCTTGTGAATATTAATTGTAGTATCCTGTGGGTACACAGGATGATAAAAATAGACAAGTAAGGACTTGGTTTTCATTATTCTGTATTTGCTTGGTATTACATGATTACACTTGATTATTATCTAGAATTTTCTATTGTAATAGTGTTCTCTTGAATGTTCCATCACATTTATTTACTTATTTACTCACTCCAGGGTCATGATCAGAGTTCAACTCTTGCTCAGCACTCTGTTGAACTGACTCTACCCAACCATCATCCATTTCATAGAGACTTGCTCCGATATGCCAAGCTGATGGAGTGGCTAAAGAGTACAGACCATGGGAAATACGAGGGGCTGACAAAGGTATGGGCTTGACGTCACTCCCTCACTAGGTCTACAGTGTATGCTTTTCACACAACAAAAGATAATTGAATTTCTACGTGCTCAATTATTTACTTGGATAAAAAAGAACCAGGTATGCACATGATGCACAGACATGAATATAGGAAAAATACACTTAAATAAATACATCTATTTTAATAAAAGAACAAAGCACCTGTTTATTAAGCAAACATTCTATAATGCTGAGCACCTGGAGTATAACAAGCAAACCTCTAATTCTAAAACAGTTAGCTGTACATATGGAAAAATTACTGTGGTGCTCCGGAGAAAATTCAGGGGGCACCTGTGTTTGCAGTGGGTCTGATTTCAAATACAGTGGAGAGACCGAGTCATGAGAACATGATAGTGGAGCACTGATTAGAGATACGTGAGGGTGAGCAATGAGCATCTCCTGCCACAGAACGGGCTCCTGAAGCAGAGCATGCCCAGTGTTGTGGAGAACGAGCCAGGAGTGAGTGCAGCACTGTGAACTGGAGTCGGTGTGGAGATTTTAAACCATTGCTACAGGTTGGTCTTACAGTGTGTGACATGTGACAGAGGGAAGACCTGTGGGTGTTGAGGAATAGAATGATGCGCTCTACCATGGACTTAATAACACCATCAGGAAGCTAGTGCAGCAAAAGCCAGTGGTCTCTGGCATTTATGCACCAGCTTTAGAAATTGGACATCAGTGTCCATTTAAAAAGAGACAGAATTGTCACCACCTAACTCAGACATATAAATAGCAACTAGTATTCTGGATAGGCCCTGCTAAGAGAGCAGTTTAAATTATGAGAAACATTTAAATTATTTTATCTTTAAGATTTTGTGAATTGAGAGCTAAAAAATAAAATATTGAAATAATATATTAAGATGTTCTAGTAATTTAGTAATTATGTGTCTAGTAGAGCACTAAAAGATATCCTGGAATTGAAATAAGAAAGGGGTTTTGTCTTTGTGGAGTAAGAATATTGAAATCTTTCATTTAAAAAAAAAAGCAACTCCTGGCAGCTGCCATAAATCTGTGCTTTAGGGGAGACAGAGAGATAGGTAGAGATGCCAAGAAAGAGGTGGGTTGTGTTCCCAGCCATGTGTTGAGGTTAATACTTGATGCAGCACATTCTTTAATATCAGTTCACATGTTTTCTCCTTGAAGTACCTTTGCCCATTTAAAGTAAAATCTGGCTCCCTCCGCTAGTCTTCGGGCATCTGTGCTGGCCTGCCGTTGGAGTTGTCACTAAGGGGACCACCTGTGCCTACTCACTACATACCCTTTTAAAAGAGCCCTGCCCACTCGCATCTCTCTCTTTCTCTCCCTCTCTCTGTCTGTGCCCCCATCTCCGCCCTTCTTTCCTCTCTCCCGCTGTTCCTGTCCCCAAAGACCAGTCTCCCCCTTCCCTTTTTACAATCCTTTTCCCTTAATAAAACTCCCTCCCCTTGGACTCTGTCACATGATGTCTTTCTTTTGAATGCACAGCTTTTTTAAAAATTATAATACCCTCTGTTTCTAAACTAAGGCGAGTCTTTTTGTTGTTTTGTTTTTGGTAGGGTTTTGTTGTTGTTTGGTTGGTTTTTTGCTTACTTTTTGCCTCCCATTTCACTTCTCACATCTTCTGGTTTTGGACTAGTTCAGAGTCTCCCTATTTTACTTCCCTCAGGAACTAGCAAACACTGGGTTGTTGGGCCCCACCCCATCGTGCTCTCATCAGACCCTTCCTCTTCCTCTGGTTTTCTGTTACAGTGTTTAGGTTTTTGCTTTTTGTTTGTTGTTGTTGTGTGGTTTGTTGGCTGGCCTTGTTTTGTTTTGTTTTTATGGTTTGTATAGCTGCCTGGGATTTTGCTGGAGAAAAAGCACATAGTTAAATGGAGTCTGCTTAAGTTTTTTTGTTTTCAGTTCATCTGAACCTAAGTGCCATTTTGACGCACGTGTGTGTGTGTGTGTGTGTGTGTGTGTGTGTGTGTGTGTGATTTCACATGGTGGTGACCATTTAAAACTTGGTCTGTTCCTCAACTCTCTTTCTTTTTTGTTAATGAAAAAATTTCTTTTTCATGCAATATATTCTAGTTGCCATTTCCCCTTCCCCAACTCTTCCCAAATCCTCCCCACCTACCCACCCATACATATCCACACCCTTCCTTTCTCTCTTTTGGGAACAAAAAGGAAAAAAAAAAGTAGGAAGAAACAAAATGAAAACCCAGAATTTTTAAGAAAAGAAAAAACAAAGGAACAGATACACACACTCAACAAAACTTAAAAACACAAAACTGGAAAACATAATATACAAGCAAAAGACCAGTAGAACAGACAAAGCAGTATGAGACAGAAAAGAAGGTCTACACAAATGCCATTGAGCTCATTTTATGTTAGCTATCTATCCCTGAACATAGGACCTACCCTTAGTGTGGTTAATGTACCCTGTTACCCTGTGAGATGTAATTGGAGACAACTAAATTTTCCTCTGCAGACAGGTGTTAGCTTTTGGGTTAGGGTTGGGGGCTCATGGCCACTTCCCCCTTTCAGCTGGGACCCCACCTGGCTTGGACCTGTGCATACTGCCACAGTCTTTGTGAATTGATTTCTGCGGTTGTTTCCTTGAAGTCATCCATCTTCTCTGGCTCTTAATTTCTTTCTTCCTCCTCTCTTTGCATAGCTCTCTTCAGCCTGAGGGGAGGGTTTGCTGAAGACATCCCATGTAGGATTGAGAGTTGCATGGTCTCTCACTCTGTGTACATTATTCAGGTGTGGGTCTCTGTTAGTTCTGCTCTACTACAAGAGGAAGCTTCTCTGGTAAGGGCTGAACAAGGCAAGGTGTCATTAGGAGTCATTTTATTGCTGTGTTCCTTTGGTAGAACAGTAGTTTTAGGTTTTCTGTAAGCTTATGGCCTATGTAGTCTCAGATTCTTGGTCATCCAAGCAGTGTCCAGCATGGGTTCCATTTCTTTTTTTTTATATCATTTTCTATTTTAATTTTAAATAGCTTGTTTTACATGTCAATCCCAGTTCCCTCTCCCCCCTCTCCTCCCACACTCCCCTTCCCCCAGCCTCCCACCCTATTGCCAATTCCTTCCACATAGGGGATATCTAGAGTCTGTCATTTCACTCCGGGTAGGGTCCAGGCATTCCCCTAAGAGTCCAGGCTGAGAGAGCATCCCTCTTTGTGCTATGGGCACACAATGACTGTTTGTATTCCAGGGATAGACACTGATCCACTGCTCAAGGCCCCATAGGTTGCCCAGGCCTTCTCACTGACACTCACATTTTGGGGGGGGGGGTCCAGATCAGTCCCATGCTGGCCTCCCCGCTGTCAGTCTGGGGTCCAAGAGTTCTCCCCTGTTCAGATCAGCTGTCTCTGCTGGTTTTGCCAGGCCCATTCTTTGCCAATTTGCTCATCGCCCCTCTCTCTCTGTCACTGGGTTCCTTGGGTTCAGTTCAGTGATTAATTGTGTGTTTGCCTCTGCTTCCATCAGCCACTGGATGAAGGCTCCCGGATGGATATAGACATCAAGTTCATTATCAGGAATGGGCATTCGAGGTGGTCTCTCCACTATTACTTAGCTTGCCAATTGGTGTTATCCCTTTAGATCACTAGAGGTCACTCTGGTGCCTGATCCGTCTTCTAACCTATGATTCCCTCTTCCCCCTATTCTACCCCCACCCACTCAACTTCCTGTTCCCCCATGACCTACTCTGTCTTTCTCTTCTCCCCCCTCTCTTCTTCCCAGCTCCCACTCCCCCTTACCCCTCACCGTGTTCCCCATCCATTCAGAGGATCTGGGTTCCATTTCTTGAAACGGGCTTAAACCCAGCCTGGTTGTTGGTGACCCCACAGTACTGGGCCATCATTGCTCCAGTGTGTCATGCAGGCGGGTACTATTGCAGACTCAGGGATTGTGCCTGGGTTCGTGTTTACCTTTCTCCCCTGGTAGTGTGCAGAGTATTTTCCAGTACCATGCATACAAGTCAGTAGGTGTAAAGGCTCTAGTGAGGTATCAGCTGTATTTAACCATGTTCAATGAGATATGTAAGTGTGATCTTCAGCAACAGGGCCTTACTGAGATTTTTAAAAAGGGAAGATGAATCTGGTAAAATGTATTTTCTGGGTTTTTTGTTTTCTTTTTTTCCAAGACAGGGTTTCTCTGTAGACCAGGCTGGCCTCAAACTCACAGAAATCCGGCTGTCTTTGCCTTCCGAGTGCTGGGACTAAAGGCCTGTGCCACCACCACCCGACTGAATTTTCAAACCATGATAAAAATGCCTTTCAAGGGCTGGTGAGACAGTTCGGCTAGTAAGAGGTGCCTGCTGCCTGATCCCAACAGCCTGAGTTCAATGGTGGAAGGAGAAAACCAACTCCCACAAGTTGTCCTCTAACCTCCACCTGCTCTCCCACTCTCAGCCTCTACCCACCCCACCCCATGTAAACACTCAAGCATTGTGAGAGCACAAAAAGTTTTAACCTGCTTTCAAAACAAGTTTATCCCTGAAGTGTCTAAGTGCATCTGATCTGACTTGCGAGTATAGGTACAATTGATTTTGCTCCTCAGAATGAGCCTTTTTCAGTGTTGTGAAGTTCTGTTATGTTATTCTATTTGATTTCATCTAACAGAATTCTGATTTGAAGGTGTGTTAAGTGAAAATATTTATAGTACTCAAATTTTTTTCCCTTTTGAAGTTTTAGGAGATTAATATTTTAAATAATTGAATACATCTTAAGAGTTCCATGCCAACAAGTACTTTGTCCCCCAGTGACTATTCAAATAAGTAATCGATAAGCTTTTTGCCTAATTGTGTTCTCAGAGTATTATTATCTTGTCTTTACATATTATGCAGTATTCATGAATGTAATTTAAAGTGAAGAAATAATGTGAGTGCCAACCTAGTGGTGACTCTGGCTCATTCTCTGCTCAGAAGGTTGTTGTTTTTTTTTTTCCAAACAAGATGGTAATTTTGAATGACAGTACTAATGAAGTTTTTAAATGAAATTAACTTATTTCCCAGGAATATTACTTGGTCCTTAGGTTTGAGCTTTTGGTGACCATGTATACACACACACACACACACACACACACACGCACACACACACGCACGCACGCACGCACGCACACGCACATGTGCACATACACACACTTGAGAGATGAGAAGTCATTCTTCGGCATTACTCCCAGCTGTACTCAGGCTGACTCTAGTCCTTAGTTTTTGTTTGCATAGTTAGAACCTATGAAAGACAGAGGGGCTTTGGTCATGGCATCATCTGCTCGGACTCCCTCTCTCCCAGAGCTCCAGCATCTGTCTGTGTTTCTGGGTTGTGCATATATGAGGTGCTTCCCTTGTGATTAGGGACATCTGAGCTTTCCTCCACAGTAACAATCTGAGACTGACAGTCTTGTAGAAACACTGAGTAGCAAGACCCCATGCATGCATAGGTGCATATTCATGAAGCATTGCATATTTTTATGATGGAAAATCCTCCCATGCTCATGGATAGGCAGAGTTCACACTGTGATGATCAGTGTATTATCAATCTTAGTTTCACATTTGAGGAATGGGCCTGGTTATGTTAAAAACAAATTAACATACATAAGGTCTCTGGAAGACAACTTACAGCCAGCACAAAGCAAAACTAAAAAGACTGTCACTGTCTGGGACTACAGTTTTTAAACACAAGATAAATTTCCAGTCAAGTGTTAAAAGGAACTAATTTTGTGGTATAATTTAATTTGTATGTGCTTTTGAATTAATACAAGGATCATAGGAAATAACTGCTCAGTTGAATGACTCTTCTTACAGACATAGTCTATCTAATGAAAGGGGTCAGACCTAAAGTATTTTTGATCTAACTATTGTTATAGAATCTTGAAGCTAAAATTGTGTCCTAAGTTTAGAAAGATAACTGGGAATAATTATTCTACTATGGATTTATTTAAATTTAGCTGAACTTTCTAATGCCATTTCTTAGGACCTGGAGAAACACATGATGTCTGCTACTGAAGAGGGATTACAGGGACATAGAGTATTTCATGTAAAGATAGACAAGTGTGATCAAAAATTAGTCTTTATGCTAAATAATAGGTGCTTTCTTTAGGGCTCAATTAATCAAATCTGTTTTCAGAAAACCTATTTTGAAAATTGTGTTGCATGTATACCAATCACATTCTGACCTTTGGGATTACACTGACAAGGGTCAGTGAAATCAGAAGATCTCCTCATTGCCATTGGCTCTGCTGGGCAACATGGCAATGTGGAGGGAGAGGTGTAAGGATCCCCAGAGGCCTTCAGAGTGAAGTAGCATCAGCCTCATAAAGATTCCTGTACTCTTCAACTCTGTAATCCTCCCCTAGGAAATTTCCCAGGAGCCAGAAATCTCACTGTGACCCTGTCATAACAACACTGAAACGGCTTCAGTGTCCTTTGTTAGGGACCTCGATTACTGGATTGTGGTGTGCCCACACTAGAACACTGAGCCACTATTACAGTGCAGCAGGAGAAGCTCAGCTGCTCTGGCTCACATATCCTGGCCAGAGTGGTTGCAATCACAGTACCAAATGTACCAAGGTAATTCATAAAAGTGGAAATATAGGTGTGATTGTTTGACTTGACGTTTCCGTAAATTGTAATGATATGCTGCCTATTTGTTCTGCCTTGTTGCATTTTCAAGAGAGAAAATCGCCTAACTTTTTATATTGTCTGAAATACACTAAGGTTTTATAAGCATGAAGGATTTAAGGGAAGGATTAAGGAGAAAATTGTTAGTTTACTAATAATTGCATATTCCATTTATTTTAAGAATTACATGGATTATTTATCCCGACTATATGAAAGAGAAATCAAAGATTTCTTTGAAGTTGCAAAGATCAAGATGACTGGCACCACTAAAGAAAGCAAGAAGTTTGGTAAGCCAAGCTGTGGGCTCAGTGTCTCCTTTTGAAGCAGTCTCACTTACTGAATAGTAACTCCACGGCTTTTGTAAAACAAGGTGGGATAAAACACAACAGAATTAAAGAAAGTGGAGGCCTAGCTAATATATTTGATTTACAGGTTTCAAAGAAACTATTTGAGAAGAAATGCTATCTGCCAATGTGTTTTTTATAAGCTAAAAGTATGAAATGCATCAGTCCAGCAGTAGCTGGACATTTGTGCTGTGATTAGCGGTCACTGTTGCTAGGGAACGCACAGGTGAGACAGTGAAGTGCACCCTGATAGAGAAGAGAGGCTAGACAGGAGACTCCTGCTGAGTGTGGTTTCTGATCCCAAAGACGGTACAGGTGGGGGCGAGTCAATGCTCTCCAAAGAGAAAGAACTAAAAGGTATTCCTGGCTTCTTACTTCTCACTGGCTGCTTTGCATTTAGAGAGTGTTTATGTCACCGGCATCTCCCTTGTGATTGTACCATATTTTTCTTGAGCAGTATATTTGGGGCTTTATATTGCTCTTTTGTTCCCTACCATTTAAAGGGACAAACACCATTCGAAAGAATAGCCAATGAAAGTATCAAGCTGAGGAAGGATGTACTGAGGCCACGTTCTGCTCTTGCATGTACCCATCTCTGGAGTTCTCTTTGGATGGAGTTCTGTGCCTATTCAAGTCCAAACCTGGCCTTAAGGGGCTACATCATGTACTCCTCGGTGTCTGTGGAGTCCCTTTAGAACACTGAGCTTAGCATTGACTGTTGAAATGAGCCTGTGCCCTAAGCAATGGCAAGAAGCAGACAGCAGCGTTGAATATTGAGGCGTCCTGCTGCCGTCTGTTCTTTTTGGGACAGAGAAGACTGCTCTTAAATGTCACTAATTGTGAGTTGATCTATTAATTACAATGGTCCCAAATTTGAAGTGCTTTGGGTTTGTCTGTTAACATGCTACATTTTGTAAAACACCCTCTTGGGACAGTAGGCTTTTGAAAACAGAAATGCTAACTCATCCTAAAGGCTAATTGTTCTTAAACAGCAGTGTCTTTATATCCTTGTTGATGTTTCACTGTGGATATGTTATGCCTGTTTTGGGCAAAGAGCATATTATTAATGTAGTTATATGTTTAATGTTTTCATTAAGTATATTCGTCATTACTTGTTAGTGTGCCATTTTATGCTGAGAAATCTCTTCGGTATATGAAAACAAGTTGAATATACATTAAGATAAATGATATAAAAATACAACTTAAATACAATACAGTAGTATCTTTATATTATCATCACATTATCCTAAAGCTTAAACCTTTGCTTTTCCTACCATAAGTTTTTAAATTATCTTGTTAAAATATTTTAATTTGCATAATAAGGTTTAGAATAATTTTTATAATTTTAAAACAATGTCATAACAAAAGAATAAATCTGTATTTGTTTATTAAATATTGATGGATAAAAGAGTAATTTGTGATAATTCATCACAGAAAATTACAGTATCAGTTACAAGAAAGGACAAACTAAATTCAGAGAATAATGTTGAATCTCTCAACATTTGACAATTCAAGCTAAACGCACACAACTCAAGAAATTCTGAATCGAGCAGGATGGAAATTTTTCCTAAGAGATTTTTTTTCAATGATCCAGATTATGTCTAAATGAATTTAGTAGTAACTATAATTAAAATTGAAACCTTCACGTTTGGAAAGTTAGCTTTTCAATGACACCATGTTATCATTTTAAATACAAGCTTCTGTTTTGTACGTGCTGTGGCAATCTTTCGTCACAGATGTGGCTAGGAGTTTGCTTACAAGTAAAGGAAGAGCAGGCCCTAATGGGCATCATCAGAGTGGGGTTCCTCTTCCTTCTTGAAAACTCCATTTTATCTTTAACATCCCTTATTTCAAGAAATTCAAAATAGGCTAAAGATGCCAAGATAAGATCTCTGTATAAATTATTCCCCCTTTTGATGAGTGATTTATCCTCGGGGGCATAGGATTTTCCTCCTGGGATTGACACTTTGATGGATTCATCCATTTCTCTTCTCCAAATGTACTTACTGAGGCAGAGGCAAAGGAAACTGAGTGACTATTCCTACGATTGTCATTTTTACTGGCTTCTTCTTCCTCACTTAAGATGCATACTTTAAAGCATCTAGATGTGTCACTGGGGGACAAGGCAGTGCTTACACTTGGGCTTTAGCTATTGGGTGACACATAATATGAGATATATAAAATTTGTAAAATGTACAAGGCATTTTATTCATTTGTATATATAGATACATGATTATAATGCCCCTGTTTAATATTACTAAATCTTTACAGTGGTGTCAGAAATCATCTTATCATTGTTTCTCAATTAAACTAAGTAAGATTTTTTTTATCCCAAAGATAGTTGAATACAGGCTGGATTGAAGGCTTTGTGGAAGAGTAATTCTGTAAATGTTTATAGATATCCGTTACAGAAGTGAACACAGTTCTGCCCTGGAAGGGCAGCAGTGAACAGAGGCCCTTATCCACTGCTCTTACTATGTTTATCATCTACCGGCGATTACTTAAAGATACTTACAACTTTATATGAGAATCTGCTGCTGAGAAAGAATCTAGAATGTTTTGAGCTCCAAATTATAATTAATAGCTTAATAGCCAGTACTGGTCATGATTGTCTGCTGAAATAGACTTTGTTCTGGGAAGGTGAGCCTGCAGAATGGCCGTAGGACCCCGGGCAGGAGTGTCCACATAAATGAACTGTTCTCTGTAGTGCAGTGTTTGCCACATTAATATCTACACTTCTTATGTCACTTCCCCTTGAGCTTAGATGGTCGAACCTATCAATCATCCCAGTGGTAGCATGGGAATGACCAGTTCAGAGCTCTACTTGGGCCTTTTCCTCAAGTGTGGCCTGGTACCATGCCAGATGACACATTGTTCTCTGTTTCTAAGCTGCTTTTAGGTTATAGTTTATTCTTTAGTCCTGTTGTGAGTTTGAGTTCAGAATGTCTCACAACATAGGCTCTAACATTGATCTATAGATACTGTGTAACAGCAGAGTCTAAGAATGAAAGAAATTCCAAATGACTGTGATAGAGTTCGGAGTTACCTAGTCAGTCTGTCCCTCAGCATTACTCTTTCACACACAGCTCCTGACCGGTGTTCGCCAACCTTCCAGCCTTGTATTCATAGGCTAGTTACCAAGGAATTCAGTATAATACTTGATTTTAAGTTTAAAGCTATGTTAAAAGCCCCACTTATATAATCTTTAACAGATAAAGTAAAAAGTTAGTGTGGTGGAGATTCCTTCAATGGGCTTGCAGGAGATAAAAGATTGTGAATGTCTAAAGTGACCCCTTCATTCCTCACTCTATTAAATTACTTGGGCTTTATTCAGAAAACAAAGCCTTGTGAATTCATTCTTTTAAATGTAAGTGTACCAACTTCCTAAGCTCAAACAGCAACAATCCCACCATTTAAAGGGTTGGGGGTTAAACACTGATATGTTTCCTGAATACATAAGTAGAAGCCCTCCATGAAAGGATTAGTAACACTACTCTCTTACTTTCTCAACGGTCACTGAGCAACTACACGTGTGTTTGCACCTTTCGTTAGTCAGTGCTCACAGTTCTTTGCATGTGTCTTTTAAACTAGAGCTTTAACTGCCTCTTGTGCATGGTTTGTGCAAATTGCAGTTTATTAACTTGTCTTTGTCTTTGATGCTTGCAACCTAATCCATCACAGCTACACTGCCTCGAAAAGAAAGTGCTGTCAAACAGGAAACAGAGAGTGAGTATGCTTACTGTGCTAGTAGGCACCCTCAGTGCATGTTTGTTAATGTCTAGATGTTGGTTACCTGTCTTGAAAAACATTAATAGCAGAGATATTGATTGCACCAAATTGCCAGGTATTGGAAAAAGAAACTCAGCATGGCGGTTGTGTGTACATCCAAGAAATAAGTGACGTGGTTACAGTTACACAGCAAGGGGTGAAAGCTTTGTTGTCAGAAATTTATGGAAAACCTTAACATTGCACTTCTGTTACAGGCTGTGTTTAGAAGAGCTATAACTACTACTAAAGGGGCCCTGGAGGATAGCTCAGCAGTTAGAGCACATAATGCCCTTGAGAGTGTATGTGTGCAGTTACCAGCACTCACCTCAGGTTGCTCACAGCCACTCCAGCTCCAGTGGGATCCCATATCTCTGATTCTGCTGGCACCCGCACTCACGTGCACTTACCCACATGCACGAGTGTGCACACATGCACACGCACACACAATTGAAAATAAGAATAAAAATAAATCCTTGAAAAAAGTCTTAGAGATCTGGTAATAATTTGTATAATGAGGCAAAAGCTTGAATTGTCCCTATTAAAACTTCATTTTCCCTCCCTGCCCGTTAGTAAGTAGTGCAAGTTAACAGAGTAGTATTCAAGAAGAGTGGTTTAAGTGTTTTATTGTTTATATTCTGAACCTAAACTTTATATGTTCTTCTAAGAACGAACCATTAATTCCTTAGTGTGTGGGAGCTGTTGCTCATTTTCTCCATGGCTGGGATGAATTCCTAAATTCTACCTAAGCACAAATGTCTCTTATTTATTTGGCTAGTGACAGCACATTTCAGTTATATTTTAAAGATATCAGATTCTTAGGGTGTTTTTGCTCATGCATCTGTTATTAGCCAAGTCGCCTACTCAGAAAAATGGGGTTTCTAGACTCAGGAACATACTAAGTTTAATCATAAATAACTGACCTTTATGGGAAAACTTGTCAAGAATTGATAATTTCATGTGGTTCAGATTGGTGTTTAGAGATGATTAATACTTGGGTATAAGTTTTCTTCAGAAATATACATCATTCTGTCAGCTGTAGCGTTAGCACAGTACTCAGTGACCCCCATCTTTGTTCCTACCTCATTACTATAGCTTAGAGACAGCACTTAGAGATAGCTTTACCTTTGGAATGGGGCGGGGAAGGGCATAGACTATCTGATCAGTAAGGCCCTTTCCATCGTAGTTCATAGATAGATGTAGTTCTCCTTCCATTCACTACATTCTCTGCAGCGGGACCCAGTATTAATGAATGTCAAGGGTTCCACAAACCATGTAATAGAATCTGAGTCCTAGAAGATCAAGGCTCTAAAAGGTAGCCCTGAGGCAGATCATAGGTCTTTGTTCCCTGAGACACAGCTTTGAAAGATGTGTTATTTCATAGGTCTCCATGGAAGCTCTGGGAAACTCACTGGATCGACTTCTAGTCTGAATAAACTGAGTGTTCAGAGCTCAGGCAATCGCAGGTCCCAGTCATCTTCCCTGCTGGATATGGGGAACATGTCTGCCTCTGACCTCGATGTTGCCGACAGAACCAAGTTTGATAAGGTAAAATAACAGATTCTTGGTACTAGCATTGTGATTGCCTTAAGTGTTCTCAAAGATGCAGGCTCTTGGAACACCTTTGAAGTCATTACCATGTCCTTCCAATTCTGATTTGAATCTGAAAAAAAAAACAGTCAAAAGTACAACTAAAATATGATTGATCATTTAAGTAACATAAGAACTTCATTAGCATTTACTTGTTACAATTATGACATGCAAATCACACCTAAGTTGTTTGAGGAATGACAGAATCAGGAGGGAGTAACAGCTTCACTGTCAGCTGCGATGCCTGGAGTAAGTTTCAAAGCTTGTCTTCCTCCTCCCATATTTGAAGTGAGTAACTGAGTTTTCTCTTCCACCTGTTTCTCCTTGGTATTATATTAATTGCTCTTATCAGTCTTGGGAGAGTTTGTCTTTGGCATACTGGGGGATTCTAGACTTAGGAAATTATACCTTTATCCGTGCCTTTGCTGAACAGTGAACTAAACTGGAGTGTGTTCAAGCCTTCCAGGCAGTTCTGTAACCCTCTGGTCATTTGGTGTCCATCCTTCAGATCTTTGAGCAGGTGCTGAGTGAGCTGGAGCCGCTGTGTCTGGCAGAACAGGACTTCATAAGTAAATTTTTCAAACTACAGCAACATCAAAACATGTCTGCATCAATGGTATGGCTTCCATTTATTTGGACAGTATAGTCTGTAACATCAGCCCAGTTACTATTATTATGTGTTCACAATTTTAGTATCTACACAGAAAAGGAAAGATTCCAATAAATCAATCTTTAACTATTCTTGTTATTCACAGTCTACTGCAAACAGGAAAGTAGCTAGGAGTTTGGATTTCTAGTATTCCAGAATGTCTTTAGCCAACAGCCTCTAAATTAACAAGGGAGGAAATGTCTGCATTTATTCTGTAGAGAACGTCATTCAAAAAGGAATTTTAAGCAGGGTGTAGTAGCTCGTGTCTATAATTTAAGCACTTGGGAAGCTTAGGTAGGAGGACTGCATGACTTCCAGGCTAGCCTGGGTTACAGAGTGTAAGATCTAAAAAACCAGAAAGCCTACCAATTTTAATATTTTAGTGTTCCCAAATGAAAATACAACCTAAGAGATAATGCTATATAGAGGGGAGATGGGGGCATCAGCTTTAAGTCCGATTTTGTCTTGTGGCCTTGCAAGTGAACAGATAGACACTAGCTGATGCTCTAAGCCCCAGTCTCCTCTTCCATAATGTGAATGTGTAAGTCCCTTTTCACCATGCCTTCAAGGCATAAGTGCAAGAGAACAGAATGGGAGAATTTCTAGAATATTTTCAGAAACTCAAAAACCACAGTTCAAGTAAGAGTCATCTCAAAAAGTTATGCCTAAGGCAGCTGACATATACAAAGCTGCCGTAAGATCAGTGAGAAATTCACTACTGGTGGGAGTCTGTTGTTCCTCATAGTAGGAGTGTTGGAAATTTACTTGCTCAGCTTAAGAAAGAATTTATGACAGCATTTATAAATTTATATTTTTATTAGTTTATTTGTATGCATGTTTGTCTATGCCCCATACATGTGCATTGCCCATGGAAGCCAGAAGAGGGTATAGGATGTCCTGCAACTGAAGTTACAGGTAGTTGTGAACTGTCTTGGGGATGCTGGGAATCCAACCTGGGTCCTTTGGAAGAGTAGCCAGTGTTCTTAACTGCTCGGCTATCTTCAAGTCCCACAGCATTTTTTTAGTACTGAAGTTTTCATTTAATATTGTTGTTGAATGTTTTCCCTTTCCTTTTTCTGTTTTTGTGCCAAAATCCCTTTACATCTGAGTACATTCCTGGCCTCATGCACACACTCTTCTCTTCACATGTACACACAGATGAAGATAACTAACTTTTTACCCTGAATTACTTCTTGGGGACCAGGAGGGGTCTAAAAACAGGCTGGTGAGGTGGGTCAGTGGGTAAAGGGGTAAAGGTGCTTGCTGAGCAAAACTTATGACATGAGTTCAGTTCCTGGGCCCACTTAAAAGGGAACTGAAAGTACAGCCTCTACCACTGTCCTCTGCCTTCCATGCATGCCCACGCACACATACACACACACACACACACACACACACACAAACACACCAAATTAATTTTCAAAATTTAAGAATGGGCCTGGAGAGATGGCTCAGTGGTTAAGAGCCTTGGCTGCTCTTCCAGAGGTCCTGAGTTCAGTTCCCAGCAACCACATGGTGGCTCACAACCATCTGTAATGAGATCTGGTGGTACCCTCTTCTGGTGTATAAGCATATATACATTCAAGCAGAACACTGTATACATGATAAATAAATCAGTTAAAAAGAACTGAAGGTAAAATCTAAGAATTCAATTCATGAAACGTTCTTAAACAGTGTGTAATATTATATGTTACGTTAATAGTAACAAAATATTACTATTCTCCATAAAATATTTTCTTGTGTTTTAAAACATGGCAGATTTTTGGTCTATAAATTTGTCACTACGCTGGTTTTTCATTATATAAAGTGTGTGAATTTTTTGCAGACTGAAGCAGAGGATGTGGATGGTGGCTCATTAACACGACAGCATAGTTCCGGCACACTGCTGCCTATTTCATCTGAGTATGTATTTATCCCCATCTGTTGTTTGTTCTGGGAAAAATCAACCTGAATTGAGGCAAAACGAAGTGTTTCTCATGGAAACATCCACATGATTCTCAAAACCTCCTGGTACCCACACAGACCTGTGTGTTATCCTAGTTGTGTTTCTGTTGCTATGATGATGAAAAGCCTTGATGAAAGCAAAGGGTTTATTTTGTCCCACAGTAAGGTGGGGAAGTCAAGGCAGCAAGGACTTGAAGCATGTGGTCATATTCCATCAATTGTAGGAAGTGGAGAGCAATGAGTGCCTGTGTTTAGCTCACTTTCTCCTTTTTATACAGTCCGGAAGCCACCCTCAGTAGGCATATCTTCCCACCTCAGCTAATCTAATCAAGTCATCCCATGTACATGTCCAGAAGCAATCTAGCATAGACAGTCTCTCATAGATACACGTGGAGGCTTATCCCTGGGTGACCCTAGAGCCTGTCGAGTTGACAGTCAAAGCTAGTCATCACATGTGCTCACTGTCTTGTTAGGGACATGTTACTGATCCTATTGAAGGCCTCATGAGCTCTTCTGTCTGGTAATCCCAGATGGATAGTCAGTGCTAGTGTTTGCTGGTGAAAAGTAGTGGATTTCTTAGAGATAGAAAGGCACAGTTTCTTGGGCTCAGTGTTTAAGAGCACTGGCTGCTCTTCCAGAGGTCCTGAGTTCATTTCCCAGCAACCACATGGTGGCTCACAACCATCTGTGATGAGATCTGGTGCCCCCTTCTGGCCTACATGCATACATGCTGGCAGAACACTGTGTACATAATAAATTTTTTTAAAAAGTTTTTAAAAAGCAACACATCTAAAAAAAGGGGAGGGGGTTGTGATGCTTCCTCCCTCAAAAAAAGGGGGGAGGAAAGCACAGTTCAGTGCCCAGCTTTACAAATGAAGCGCACGATTAGCTGTTCTTATATTCAAAACTGCTATAGAATAATTCACTATAGTTTGGCATTTTTAGTTGTAGTACCAATTTTTAGCTGTATTTTTATACAGTAAACTACAGTTTCAATTGCAATAAAGGTGGATTCATCTGAAGTTTATACTAATTATATTTTTTCTTTCTTTCTGGATAGGAAAGATATGATTCGCCAAATGATGATCAAAATATTTCGTTGTATTGAACCTGAACTGAACAATTTAATTGCATTAGGAGACAAAATCGACAGCTTTAACTCCCTTTATATGTTAGTCAAGATGAGTCATCACGTGTGGACTGCACAGAATGTGGACCCAGCCTCTTTCCTAAGTACTACACTGGGAAACGTCTTGGTGACTGTGAAGAGGAACTTTGACAAATGCATTGTAAGTTGTAAGAATTAACTCAAGAATAAGTTATTATGCAAATTGGCTAATATATTTAATCTAGAGTTCATGACCCCCAAAGCTGTGAAATAGGGATTTGGTGCCTGTCCATTTGAACAGAGTAAGCTGGAGAATTGGCGACACAGATTTCTGTGGCACATGGCATAGGGCCAGCTTCTGCCTGAGTGACCCCCTGGGTTCCTGTGACTCAGTTTACTGATATGTGACCTTTGGCTTAATGAAACAATTGAAAGGTATTTGGATTTATTGTTATTTTCATATATCCTAGTAAAATTGACTTATTTTAATTGGTAGTTTAAATTATTATCATTCATTTTAATTAATAGTATACAAAGTCCAATAATCATGCTGCTTTCTTTTGTTAAGATCAGTTGCAGCTGGACATGGTGATGCTCAAAGGCCAGAAGCAGGTGGATCTCTGAGTTTGAGGCTAGCCTGGTCTTCAGAGTGAGTTCCAGGACAGCCAAGGCTACACAGAGAAACCAGTTGCTAATAAATTCTATCGAGCATCATGCCACTCCTTATAAAAAGTAATATTGTTACCTGTTAAACTTCACAGTTTGTAGAAATTAATTGGGATAAGCCTGGTTATTTAAAACATTTTCATTTTGTTAATATGCTTTTGGATTTTTATCATTTGAATGTTTCTACTCTATAGCCTATTATACCTATTCTTAAATATCCATAGAATAATGCAGGTGAAAATATTAAGGGCAATTAAAACGTATGCCATTTTTTATACTTAAGACATGGCTCAGAGTTTAAACTTGTTGGCTGTTCTTCCAAAGGTCCTGAGTTCAATTCCCAGAAACCATCTGTAATGACATTCGGTGCCCTCTTCTGGCATGCAAGCATACATGTTGTATACATAATTAACAAAATAGAAAAAAATAGCACTTTCTGGATTGGGAGTTATTTCAGTGGTAAGGCTGCTGGCTCAGTCCCCAGCATCACACAGACAGCACACGCCTCTCCAGAAGTGTTGGTGACTGGGAGCGTCTTACTATAGGAAGACACCGGAGGAAGAGCTAACAAAGGTTGAGATAACGGAGTGACTGACACTGTGGAAAGTCATAGAGGCACTGTCCGCTTCCAGAATGTGTGGTCCTGGTGCTTTTACCAGCACATTGGTGGAGAATAAGTGCATCGTTCCTGATAGTCTGCATGATTCACAGTACTGTAGCACAGTGTACATAGCCTCTTCTGACCCTCACACTACCTCCACCTTAGGGAGGGGATGCTGGTGTTACCCTCCTGAGTCATGTGACCTTCACATTACCACCATCCTGAGGAGGTTAATTACCCTCCTGAGTCATGTGACCTTCACATTACCACCATCCTGAGGAGGTGATGCCAGTAATACATTCCTGAATCATGTGGCCCTCATTTCACCTCTACCTCTGGAGGTGATGCAGGTGTTCGAGAGGTGGCGGTGCTTCCTGAGTCAGCAGTTAAAAGTGACCACGCTGCTGCTCAGACCCACGAGGCCTGGTGGCAACACTGCAGTCCTCTACTGTCTTGTCTGTCTGACCTAATGCCACATGCTTGTTAACACTGGTGAAGCGGAGCATTTGGAACAGGAAACCCAGGTGGCTGGCAGAGTTCTCAGAGCTTTCACCCCAATACCCATAGTCTAGAAATTTTGGTCTGGTCCACATGTCTTATAGTTTTTCAGCTTATACTCCCCATATCTCAAGACTGAGATTTTAGGTAGAAATTGAAGTGATGTGACTATTTGTGTGGATCTAGACCCCTGAAGAGTACTTGGAATAGTACTTGAATCTATAGATCTTTCTGGACCCTGGTGGCTGGATGAAATGCAAGTCCATAATAGAAATTTGTGATCTCCTTTGGTCTTGCACCCCTCTCCCCAGAGAATTTGTGTAAATAAAAGTTTTAGGTGAGTAGCATTTGGAAGTGGATATACTTTTCAAACTTAGCTGTTTGATCACTAACCAGAAATAAACTAGGCACGTCCTACATGCCCTGGCCTTGGCCCTGCTCTGCCCCTAGTGTATACCTGCCTTGTCCCTGTCCATCATGAATAGTAGAATGATACACCGATTCCAGTTGAAATACAGACTTAAAGCTCAGAGTCCTTGACTGACTCATCTTTTAATAAGTTTAAGTCATCTTCATGCTTTTATTATCTGAATACAATGCAGTGTAGAATGTTTCTATCTAGAGAGTTGGTTTTCTTCATTACTCTTGTTAGTGCAGTTCTAAGAAGTATCTAATGCTCTGGGCACCGTGTGTGCATTTGGTCATCTGTGGTTTCTAAGTTGCTTGACTTTTTCTTCCCTTGCTTTCTGCCTAACTTTAGAGTAACCAAATAAGGCAAATGGAAGAAGTAAAGATCTCAAAGAAAAGTAAAGTAGGAATTCTTCCATTTGTTGCTGAATTTGAAGAATTTGCTGGACTTGCAGAATCAATCTTCAAAAATGCTGAACGTCGTGGCGATCTGGACAAAGCATACACCAAACTAATCAGAGGAGTGTTTGTTAATGGTGAGTTTTTATGGTTTGCTCTGAAGAACGTTACGGCTCCTTTTGTTGCTTCTGGGTAACTCTGAAGCTGGGTGAGGCATGCTCACTGTTTTTAGTAGTCTGGAGTCCTTTAGGCTTTCTGAAATTGAGCATCTGTTAAATGTGAAAACTAAGCAGCATGTAAGGTAATTCCCATCAAGAGCCACTCTTGTTCCAGGCTCCTGGGCCTTATTACTACCCAGAATTGAAGGTTGTTTTCTAAATGTAGAAAATGGCCATGTTTCATTTGCATTTTAATAAGGGTCTTCTGGCTGCTTGGCAAGGATGTCTGTGTAGTGCTCACAAGTCAGTTCGCTTAGGCTTCAGGTTTTTCATCTGTTACACAGGGAGATTAGCTGTGTGCCGGCCTGTGTGAAAGCCCAGTAAATTGGGGACATTTTTGGACATGTTATTTAATTTGAAATTGTCTCATTGCTTACACTCAATGATTTCAAAAGCAAAAATTGAACAGGAAGTTGAATCATGTCATACAGCATGTAACTTTTTTTTTTATGAAAGAAAGCCTAGAGAAGGGATATATGAGTCTCATGATTGAGTGCTTGGTATTTAAATTTTCAAGTTTAGTTGGGGGGCCAGGCATGATGACTTGGTGGTTCAGAGCATGTGCTTGCTGCCTTGCAAGTTCAGTTCCCAGAACCCACATCAAGTTTCTTACAACTGCCTATAACTCTAACTTGGGATCTGATGCCCTCTTCAGGCCCACATAGGCACTACACTTACCTGTAGAAAACTACACAGCAGACACACACTTAATTTTGTTTTATCTGATTCTAAAATAAAATATACTCATATGCACTCACAAAAACTAGAAAATAGACTTTTTTAAAAATCAAGGGACAGATTATTTGTAACATTTAATGTTTCTACTTACAAGCTTTTCCATACCCCACTCCTTTTCTCATGTATATGCATATTTTATGTATGATTTTGTAATCCACATTTTTAGTGTACTTTTCCATACACTGAAAGCTGCATAACTCCATAACCTGTTGTCTTTCCTTATCCACTAATATAGATTTCTGTATCATTTTTTCCTGTTGCTTTGATAAAATAATACACTAACAAAAAAGCAACTTAAGGAAGATTTAATTCACATCACAGTTGTATAGTGCATCATGGCAGGGAAGTTAGGTCAACAAAGCAGGAAGCAGCTGGTCACATACATCCACAGTCAGAAGAACGTAGCAATGAATGCATGCGTGTTAGTGTTTGATCTCTATGCACATACAGTCCAAGATCCCCTGCCTGGGAAATGGTACCACCTACGGTGGACAGGTCTTCCCATTCCAGTTAATGTAACCAAGATAACCACCCACAGCCATGCCCAAGGCCCATCTCTCACATCATTCTAGGTTCTGTCAAGCTGACTATACTTATCATTATAGTAACTAAAATTATTTTAATGACGACATGATCTTCCAAATAACACTATTTACTTACTGAATATGCCTTAATTTGTTTCAAGCTAGAAATAGAATTGGTGAAGTTTATGTATACATCAAGTTTTGCAAAATTATGGTGCAGAGAGCTTATACCAGTTCGCTGCTCTGAGCATTTGGTGAAAGTCTCCCGTGCTCTGTCTACTCTACAAGGGCCGGATATTACTCCTATTGTCCCTTGCCTTACTCGAAATGATGTCACCCATTTCATTGCTCATGGTGTCCTTGCAGGGGTCTTCACATTTTTTGGTGACCTTTTTTCCGTCTCTTGTGCTTGAGTCATTCTTTAGAAAGCCATGCTATCACAAAACTTGGCTTTTAACTAGATATATGTTTCTTGATGCTTCTGATCCTGTTACTGCTTTTTACATTTAAGTAACTTGAGCATTTTAGAATCTAGTCATGATGTTAATCATCTAGCTGCCCTAACATACCAGCTATAATTCATAATTCCTCCACTGATTGGAATTTCCACAGATTCATGGTATTGTTTGAAACTGATTGTTTCTGGAGGCCGTGAGTACCTGACAATGCAGAATATTGTATTTAGTCCTGAACTGTTTGACTCACATCAGACAAATTTTCTTTCTTCTTCTGCTTTGATTTTAGTTGAGAAAGTAGCAAATGAAAGCCAGAAGACCCCCAGGGATGTTGTTATGATGGAAAACTTTCACCACATTTTTGCAACTCTTTCTCGTTTGAAAATCTCATGTCTGGAAGCTGAGAAAAAAGAAGCCAAGCAGAAGTACACTGATCACCTGCAGTCTTATGTCATTTCCTCTTTAGGACAGCCTCTTGAAAAACTAAACGTAAATGGATTTTCATTTGGTCTTTTCCTGTTTTTGAATCCATGTGGAAGACACTCACCCCTACAACCCTCACTGCCTTGAAGGCAGAAACAAGAGGATTGTAATTATTTATGTTCAGTGCTTGCATGGGCAACTCAGAACTCATCTCAGAGCAAATAAACAATATGTAAATTGAACATGATATGAGCTAAGATACTGTTATCACATTTTACAAATACAGAGATGGTATACTATGACTAAGCCAGATAGGGTGACACACGCCTTTAGTCCCAGCACTTGGGAGTCAGAGACAGGCTAATCTCTGTGAATTTGAGGCTAACCTGGTCTACAGACCGAGTTCTAGGACAAGTAGGGCTACACAGAGAAACACTGCCTCAACAAAAGAAAGAAAGGAGGGAAAAAAAGAAAAGAAGGGAGGGACTGGAAAAAGTTCGGGGATAAAATTCTTGCTGAGTTTCTCACGTCCTCATAAAAGTGCGCCGTACCCCAGCCTGGGGACATGGAGGCAGGCAAATCCCAAGTCCTCACTGGCCAACAAGTTTAGCCTAAGCAGTGAGTTTCAGAATCAGTGAGAGATCTTGCTTCAAAAAATAAGGTAGAGAAGCAATTGAGGAAGACATCCTGATGTCAACCTCTGGCCTCCACACCCACCCACATACACACAAGATTAAAACAAAAACAATTATTGTGTACATTGCCATTCTTTTCTTTCCTGACTTGAGTCATTTCCCTGAGCAAATGATAAATAATAAAATTAAGAAATGATTGTTTTGCCAGGTCAATGGCTTGTGTTTGTAATCCCATTACAACTTGCAGGAAACTGAAAGAGACAGAAAAACCCTGAGCCTATAAACATATTAACTGGAAAATATAGCATTTGAGATTATACTTTTGTATGCTCACATTAAAGAAATAGAAGGAAGTCCCAAGTGTTAATAGTTACTACTGAGTAGGATAGTAATAGATGATTGTTGTTTTAGCTTCCATACACTACATACTTTTTAACCTGGTTTTTTAAAAGTTCAGCTGATAATATAAGAAGTTCTTAGCCATTATTTGTTTCCATTTCCTTGAAGCATTTCTTTGAAGGCGTTGAAGCCCGAGTAGCCCAGGGCGTACGGGAGGAGGAAGTGAGCTACCAACTTGCATTCAACAAGCAAGAGCTTCGCAAAGTTATTAAAGAGTACCCTGGCAAGGAAGTAAAGAAGGGTCTGGATAACCTCTACAAGAAGGTTGACAAGCATTTATGTGAAGAGGAGAACTTACTGCAGGTATGTGCGTCCCCTGGCTTTGTAGACTCAGGCTTCTCGACATGGATGCTACATGTGCTCTATTTTTAGTGCCTAGAAAAGTTCCATAGTCAGGTATGGTGGTTGCAGGCCTGCAAGTCCAGCACTTGGGAGGTTGAGGCACAAGGATCAAAAGATCAAGGGCATCCTAGGCTACATAGTGAGCGTAAGGACAACCTCAGCTACACCCTGCCACAAAAAAAAAAAAAAAAAAAAAAAGGGAAAAAAGTAAAAGACTTAGGAAAACTCTGTAAAGCACAGGCCAGAGTGATGACTGGAAGGAAGGAAGAAGTCCTTCTGTAATTATTTCTGCTTTAGTGATTATGTTTCTCTAAGGTGGGGCTTTGCTTCTCTCTTGTGTCATTGTTTTGAGACTTGAGGTGACTGTAAATGCACCTCACTTAGTATGGTGCAGGGGCTCTGAGTTGGGGGGGTCGGAGCTAGGAATGGATCTGTAATCTGGATCCAAGTGAAACTGTATGATTTGGGGCAAGTAACTTGACTTCTGAGCTTCAAATGTCCTCATTTTGAAACTGATGCCTCTCTCATGGACACTGCTGTCTTCTAGATAACAGAAATGAGTGCTTAAAGAGATGGCGTAACATGGCAGCAAGCCTCGTGTGGGCTCAGTTGGGCCAGATTTGAACCAAAATGAAGCTATAGTCTTTATAAACTATGCAAAAAGACCCAGGATGGAGGAGAATAACTCTAGTTTCCGCATCCTCGGAGTGCTCACCCGGTGATGCAGCATTTATGCTCACTTCCCAAAGTAAAACCGCATGCTCATGAGTGAGTGGCAAGTGTTTCTCAGTGGAAGAAGTAGCATGCGCTAAATCATTGTGAAAAGCAAAAGGTGAAATAAGCCCTGTGCGAGATAGTGACTGGTCTTAAATTGACAAGAATGGAGGATTTAGGAGGTTCCCAAGGAAAACCCTAGAAGAGTACATTCCCTGGGTTGGGCATTCCAGGGTATGGTCATAGTTCCCTCACCTGGTCTTTAGGAGACTTAAATTGCACAGTGTTAATACAGAGTGAACTTCAATGAATTTAAGCTCTTGCATCATGGTGTGTATGAAATTCTGTCTTGAAATTACCTGCATATCCACCTCCATGGCAAGGTTGTTAATCACATAGTTGCAGGTAATGAGCCTGGATCATCCTGGCTCTCCCTCCCCAATATCAAGCAATGCTTATACCAAATTTAGGCAAAGAAAAAAATGTACCTTTGTCTGAAATGGAACTTCAGTGTTAAGTATCATGCTTCCTGGATGCTGGTCTTCATTCCACATATAATTGCACAGCTGCATCTGTTGTAGATATTAGAGTCTATGAAATAACAGCGAAAACATAGTGGGTTCTTGCTCATGTCAGGCCTATCCTAAGTACTCTGCTTTATTCCCTTGTTTAAAGTAGGAGGAACGAGTGTTATTGTCCACACCTTGTTACAGATACAAACTTGAGACCCACAGGACCTGTGGCATATACTTGAGGTGACAAATCTTTTAAGTGGAAGGACTGAGGGTGCTGGCTTCAGAATATATGTGCTTAATTACCATGCTATACCAAATTCTCAGATTCTCTCTTGTAATCTGCTCTGCTTCTGTGATGTAATCATTTCCCCTCACAGTTCTCTGGCATTCACTTTCTGTTTTGCAATAGGTGGTATGGCACTCCATGCAAGATGAATTTATACGCCAGTACAAGCACTTCGAGGGTTTGATAGCTCGCTGCTACCCTGGGTCTGGAGTTACAATGGAATTCACTATTCAGGACATTCTGGATTATTGCTCCAGCATCGCACAGTCCCACTAAATAAGCCTTGTAAAGGAGAAAAAGAAATGAACACACACTCTCAGTACACCAACACTACATAAAAAAAAATGAAGCAAGTGCTTCGAGAAGCCAGACTCAAACGACTGTGTGTTACTGACTGTCAGATAATGTGTAGTACTCTGCTGCAGATACTGAAGTACGGAACAATAGCTGTGGGTCAGTCTTATTTGGCCTCCAGGTGATGTACTTCTTTAAGCATCTAGCTCATCGTGAAATGCCTTCAGCACTTCTCAGTGACTGGGCAGGACATTTTCCTTCATTGTCGGCTTCTTGTGTTTTGAGTGGCTGTCCTGAGTGAAGCAGTGGAGGTTGTCGGCACTCACTGCCCGCCGGTTGCTAACAAGTCATGGACTCTGAAAGCATTACACAGTATTGTCGGCGCCTTGTCTAACCAGGGTGCCCATGGGAAGGGAGCTGAGGAGCTGGCCAGTTGCCAGCCTGGGTTTTGAGGATCTTGTGGCTCTGTATATGAAATAAAGAACATTTTTTAAAGTTGATATTTGGTAACATTCCTAGGTTTTATATATCTTGCATATAAAAGCAAACTCTTACAAAATCTGCATATCAAAATTAATTGTGAGGCCTTATACCAAAGAACACTTAGAATTTTAACAATAAGTAAGTCAATAGAATAAGAAAAAGCCATTTATAATAGCTTCAGAGATATTTAATATTTAGGACTAACTATTGAAACATGTACTATAGACTGAACAACCTAAATGTCCACTAGCAGATGGAAGAGATGAATATGACTATGTTCATTACATGAAACAGTGGGATCAGAATGGAAATGTAAATAAATGCCAGGAAAATACTGTCAGGTGACAGAAGGCACCACCGGGAGCATCTGCATGTGCTAGGATTCTATGACTATAAAACTTGAAAAACAAACTAAGCCTTTGTGGCTTAGAGTTTCAAATGGAAAGGCAGGGATGGCTACAAAATTCTGCTATAATGAGCATGAATGTGCAGGGGCATAAAGGGTTAAAAAGTCATGGTGCCTGTCACCCTAGGACTTAAGAGGCTGAAGCAATAGGATTGCTGAAAGATTGGGGCCAGCCTGTGCTACAAAGCAAATACCAGACCAGTCAGGACTGGATAACACACTCTCAAATAACTGGGTGGGGGTCCTCATGGTAAGGTTACTGTACTTAAACTGAGTGGAGTGTACACAGAATTCATTGCATTGTGCTATCACTTACACACATACACATGCATACACGCATTTACATATCCCTTAAACTGAGTGGAGCATACACAGAGTTTACTGCATTGTGCTATCACTTACACACACGCATGCATACACGTATTTACATATCCCTTGAACCTTGTGGGTGTTCTGTCAGTTCATCATTTACCTTACAGTTTTAAACTAAAAGACATTTATGTGCATATGTGCACGTATACTTACCAATACAAAAGTTGGACTTTGAAGGATCAAAAACTTAAAGCAAAGGAAGATGCAATGATTGGCCATTAGGAGAAGTGAAGTTCCATACATCAAGCGCTCTGAGTGCTGGGCTGGCCTCTTGCTCTCTCTACTGGTAGCAGATATATATAGTATAGTATATAGTATTATACACACACACACAAACACACACACGCTATAATACATCTAAAAACCAAACAGTATATCCAAACCATATTAACTAGTCAAAGGTTGATTTTAACTGGTGGTTTGGATCTTCTCTAAGTAATAAAGTTTCCATCCACTATTTTTCCAGACCTTATAGAACAATACTATTATTTACTAGAAAGAATGTGGAAAAAAGAACTTTAAGCACATACCGAACAATGATCAGACAATTCTTATATGTGGATGAAAAAGTAGTGAGTCAAAATAGCTAACTGAGGAACTTATTATTGCATTCTAAAGTAATATATAATATCAGAGTGACGTGAATGAAGTGAGACTGTTATTTGTTTTAGGTCCTGGGTAGCAGTGCCTCTCAGAATTTAATGTACTTGTGGAGCGCCTGGCCACCATGGTGAACTGGGGATCCTTAGGCAATAGGCCTTGCGTGGTCCAGATCTGCAGTTCTAACAGTCTCCAAGCCTCTGCAGTACTGATGTTGTGCTACCCACAGTCCGAGGTGCAGAGCTTCACAAAGCAGTCCCATCCTACCTCTAACCAAGTCAGGAGACTTAGGTGTCCTTTCTCCCTTGGGACAGCAGGCTTTTGAACCTGCAGTTTAAGCAAGGTCCCTTGGTTACTTTTAGTATAGTTGTGCTAATAGTGCTCACTTAGCTAAATTTCTGAGTGATATACTTCTAGAGGTTATTGGGGGCAACCCTCATTTTTAAGAGAGGAGACAGATGGTAGGGTGGGTGGCACAGGGAGGAGGGGTACACGGAAGTAGGAGGTGCTAGAGGCTTACCAAGCAAGATGAAGCAATTCCAATCTGCACGGTAGAAAGCTTGAGAAACATCTCAGCTGGCATCCCTGCCCACCCTGACTATGCAACATGGAGTCCAGAAGGTAGGTCTCTTTCCTAATTGCCTAGGGGAAAAACACAATTAGGAAGAAATTGGGGAATTGATGGGTTGTCCTCTAGTCTGTGTTTTGTACTAGTCTTCATTTAATTCCCAACAACTTTTTCTGGTTCCCTCTCATTTTCATTTCCCTGCCACCCCTCATAACTACCTGTTCTCATCCCTTATGATACTTGACAATTTGAGACATGCTGTCTTGGGATTTTTGCTTGGTTTACTTGTTTCCTTGTTGGTCAACAGCTTGGCAGGAAGGGTCAAGGCTGCCCCATGGAATCATTGTCTATAACACTTAGCTGCTTATTAAGTGCTGAGTTAAAAAGTGAAACATAAATAGACTTGGTTCATGGAGGGGAAAAGCAGGAATGTGCTTAGTAGTGCCTGCAGTGTTGGACACAGCCACAGTCAACACAGATTCCAGATGGCTGGAGGCCCAGCCTTCCCTGCCTTAATGTGCTGCCTTGTTCTAAGTGTGCACATGGAGCACTGTGGGCAATGTCACACTCATGCTGAGAATCCTCGAAAGGAAACTGACTCAAGGAAAGAAAAATGTGCTCTGCACATTGCGTTTATCCCATACAGCAACAAATGTGGTATAGGTTTAATAAAGCCTGTGTAATGAATCAAATTCATGGAGAATCCCAAGTGAATGATGTCTCCTGTGCTCCTTGGAAGAAGGACTGTCTACATATACCTCTGTAGATTCTTCTAGAGACAGGATATGGGGCTGCCCAATCTTCACTAATAGATCTCTGCCTTGCCTGGGGAAGAAAAAAGCCCAACAAATACAACAAATGCCAGGCAGTGGTGGCACACACCTTTAATTCCAGCACTTGGGAGGCAGAGACAGGCAGATTTCTGAGTTCGAGGTCAGCCAGGTCTACAGAGTGAGTTCCAGGACAGCCAGTGCTACACAGATAAATCCTGTCTCAACCAAATGCAACAATCACAATTGGCACAAAACCATTGGCTCTCAACCTGCTACATATTAAAATCATAGGCAAATGTTTAAAATGCCATTATACATGATAGCCCAGCCAATGTAATAATGTCTGAAGATGGAACTGGGTGCTTCACAAGTCTCTCCAGTAGTTCTAATGTGCAGGCTAGCCTGTGCCAGCCATAGAATTCCATAGTAGGGGTTTCTGTTCTGCTTGGTCCTACCACCCTTAGTCCCAAATAAATACATAGAGACTTCTATTAATAGAAACTGTTGACTGATGGCTCAGGCTTCTTATCGGCTAACTCTCTTAATTATTAACCTATTTGTATTAATCTAAGTATTTCCATGTGGTCTTATCTTACCAGAGAAGGGCCCAGACATGTTACTCCTTCTTCACCTACATGGCTTCTCCCTTGCCACTTCTTTCTGTACCTCTCCCCAGAATTCTCCTGATATGGTAGCCCCGCCTATACTTCCTGCCTGGTTACTGGCCAATCAGTGTGAGGTGACACACTGTCTTTACTGTTTACCCCAAAGTCATCAGTTTTTCCATAATGTGCATGTAAATCCTTTTTACAATGTGACTTTTATTCTTCCATTTATCAAAATATGCTGCATAATGGTTAGGAACACGTACTTTGCAATCAAGCGTATGAAGTTTGTGTGCGAGCCCTACCTATTGCTAGCTGAATGACTCCTAAGTTTTGTTTTTTTTTCTTCTGTATAGTCATGCCTGCTTCATTATTCTGTTGTGGGAACTATATGAAATATAAGCTGCAATTACTTGGCACAGTGTCTGATGGTCCTTAGTCATTATTATTAGAGGGTGCTCTGCCCCAAGAGCTTCCTTATTACACTAGATTTTACAAGAAAAGATGGCTGCTTTGAATATTCAGTAGCACATTTGGTTATTAAATACTGTCTCAGGATTTTCCCAAGCATAGGAATCCTAATTAAAATTCTTAATATTTATACTTGAGAATGACCACATACCATTCAAAATATGAGATATGTAGCTGCATGGTGATGTGTTTCCTGCAGCACTTTATGGAATGAAAAAGAATCTTCATCCATCGCCAGTTAAGCCTAGCTGTTTGCAGTGAAGACCTGAACGAGAAATATGGCAGCAGATAATCCTGATGGAGAGAAGACTGTTCTGCTTCATTTGTGATTTCAAAACCTAGGTTAATGACATCAGATGCCTTCCTTCAGTCACTCCACTTTATTTTTTAAGGCAGGTGAGCCTAGAGCTCAGTGATTCATCTAGACTGGCTAGCCAGTGATCTGTGTCTCTCTGTCCCCAGAGCTGGGATTATAGGTGCCTGCTGATACTCCCAGCTTCTTATATGGGTGCCAGGGATCTGAACTCAGGTCGTTGTGCTTGCATGGCGAGAACTTTACCAACTGAGCCGTCTCCCTTGCCAAGCTGGCTTTGCACTATGTGAACTGTCAGGTTAGTTTTAAAGTCCTATGTCATTATCCCTAATTTAAAGGTAAGTAAAGAACAGAAGATATGACTAGGTATGTTGTCAGATTATCTTCTGAAATGCTGAGGCTTACACCCACAGGCCTGAGCTGCTCCTGGACCTGGTCAGAGAAGCTGCTTTTTGCAATGGGTAGGAGTCAGTGCTGAGATACATAACTAGCCAACGTGTGGAGTTGGGAAGACTGAGTGTTCACCCCTAAATAGCACTTCAGTTCCCTCTGTGTCCCCAAGGGTCAGGAAACATGAGGAGAAGTCAGAAAGAATGGGAAAACCAGGTTATAGGGAGGAGTGCAGTGGAACTTGACATGGCTACCATACTCTCTCACAGAAACAAATGTAGATATTGAAAGCCTATGTGCCACAGAAAGAAGGCCATGCATAGCTCTTCACTGGAGACTAGAGCATGTCTGTTAAAGCGCAATCTAATACTAGTCTGTGTTGGTATGCATGGAGAACATTATACAAGTATATCAAAGGAGATAAATATATCCTGGTCTTTGGCTCCAGTCATTTTCAGGGACATTTTAATAAGAAAACAAAGAAGCTGGAGTGTCTCTACTCCAGAGGATATAGCCAGA